CTGTTATATGGACGCACAGGTTCTCAGCTGTGAATTTCATGAATTCTGATTCATCTCCATTTGCACAAAACGCCATGCTCAAAATTGCGCACTGTTCTTCCAAACCGAGGTAAAAACATACCACAGAGCAGTGCCACCAGGGCCACTCCTGGCTCTGCACTTGTGACCTGGGGGTCACTCCTGGCAGTGCTTGGGGACCGTGCGTATCGGGGTCAGAACCTGAGCCGTCTGTGACGCCCCCCAGAGCAAAGGACTGGGGGAGGGTGGGCGTCAGGTAGCTCAGGGAGTTCACGCTGAGCACTGGACAACATTACGTATGTACGTTCATACACTTCAACAGGTAGAAGGCGTGTATTTGGGGGGTACTCCTGGCTCTGTGCTCAGAAGTGCCCCCTGGTGATGCCTTAGGACCACGTGTAGACCAGAGGTGAGCCCTGGGTGGGCAACGAAGGGCATTGACCCCTGTGCCTTAACAAGGTCGGAAGAGTGAGCACTGGGCGCAGGGGATGCCCGGAGCTGCCACAGTGGTCCCCCTGAGCACAGCGCACAGGCCCCAGGGGTCCACGTGAGGTTCAGTACGGACACCCCAGAGCCCTCTGCCCAGTGCTGCTGTCCTGTCACCCGGTGGCTTTCCAGCCTGCACGGCCCTGGCGGTTTCATGCTAGACCCCAGGTGTCGATGGGATGGGCGCAGAGAAGATGCCTTGCCCTCTTGCAGCGCCTCCCACCGGCCTCCATGCCTGGGGAAACTGAGTCCAAGGAAGAGACGCCCAGGCCCGCGTACAGTGATAGATCACGAGGCTGTCAGGCAGGAGACAGGAGTGGGGTGGGGTGGGCTGGGCTGAGGCCTAGCTCCTTCTGTGAAGGCTTTGGGCAGACCCGGCACAGGCCCGGCAGACCTGGCAGACCCGGCAGAGACCCAGCGTAGGCCTGTACAGGCCCAGCACCCATCATCCACCCCCTGAAAAGCTCCCTCCCAGCAGCAGCACCCAAGGGGACGCAGAGGCTGCTTCACTGTCAATCCCTGGCACCCGGCAGCTCTTAAGGACAAACAGAGGAGGCACAGTGAGGTGGGGGGGGTGCAGAGCCGGCTGTGTGTGTGGACATGGGGTGCTGAGTGTGGGCCACCTGGAGGGAAGCACACCCTGAGGCCCACACCCAGCCCACCTGCTGCAAGGTGACTGTGCTCACTCTGACCGCAGATAGCACCAGGACAGAGGGAGCCTCTCCTGGGCACAGGCACAGACTGACAGAGGTGAGACCGAAGGGAGGAGACCCAACACAACTGGAGCCCAAACTCTTCGTTTGTTCAGTGTGTGTGGTCAGTGACAGTGATGGTGATGATGATGGTGGGAGTGATGGTGACGCCCACTGTGCTGACGTTGGTGCTGATGGTGATGACGCTGGTGCAGACGGTGGTGCTGATGGTGACGTTGGTGCTGATGCTGACTTTGGTGATGTTGGTGCTGATGCTGGTGCTAAGGTGCTGATGAAGTTGGTGCTGATGCTGGTACTGCTGCTGGTGGTGGTGGTGATGGGGATTGCCTTACCTCACAGAGAGTATTTTTCTGTGTGATGAGAATATTTAGCCTCTAGGATATAGTAGGTGATCTCTTAGCAGCTTTTATGAAGGTGTCCTTGTATCTGGACAGCAGGTGAGTGCATATAGATGTGACTGTCCTCACACAGACAGTGTAGACACACAGGTGCCCTCACGTTCACCAGTGACGTGGCTCATACGGGCAGTGTAGACCCAGCTGCTGTCACGTTCACCAGTGGCACGGCAAATGTGCGTGGTGTAGACACAGATGCCCTCACCTCCTTCAGTTCTGCAGGCTCTGACGCAGCATACACAGGCAGTGTGGACACAGCCGTCCTCACGTACAGCTGAGATCAGATCTCCAGCGCCTTCTCATCTTCCGCTGGCGTGCGGCGGTCCAGGCACCTGGCCGTGGCCTAGAGCCACTGCCTGTTTTGGTCTGTGTCCAGACCCGTAAGAAGTGCAGAGGCCCCAAGGGCTTTTGCTGATGGGGGTTTGCATCTGTTGATATTTACCATGTTAGGAATTAAAACTCAGCCTGGAAAACCCTCCCGCGCTGTGTCATTGCTTCTGTTTAGGCCCACGGCTGCCCCAGGCTCCGGGCTCAGTCCCGGTCATGCTGGGGACCGTATAGGCACTGGGATCCGAGCGGGTGGGCTGCCTGAGGGCCAGTGCTTCCCCCTCCCCCTCCCCGCTCCCCCCTGCCCCCGGGCTGTCCTTACCAGCTCCCTGAATGGGCAGTGGCACCTATTCCTTCGGCCCGCCCATCCACACGATGCTGGACCTAGGAAGTAATAAAATAAAAATAAAAGGCCCTCCCGTTGATCGTCGATTTGCTCGAGCGGGCCCAGTAACGTCTCCATTGGAGACTTTGTTGTTACTGTGTCTGGCATATCGAATACTCTCGGTAGCTTGCCGGGCTCTCCGAGAGGGGCGGAGGAATCGAACTCGGGTCGGCCATGTTGGCCGCTTGTAAGGCGACCGCCTTACCCGCTGTGCTATCGCTCCAGCCCTAGGAAGTAAAAATCTAATTTTGGGGGGTGGCTGGGCTGGAACTCGAGGCCCTCCTGGCTCTGTGCTCAGGAGAGACTCCTAGTGGGGCTCTGAGGACCAGATGGCCCTGGGCATTGAGCCGGGGCTGGGCAGACACAAGGCCAGTGCCTTACCCTGAATGCCTCCACAGACCAAGATCTAATTTCGTTGTGAACCTAAAACTCACTGCCTGCTTCCCCCCACATTAATTATTTCCATGAATACCACATGGCTTAATTCATTTATTTTTATTTAAACAACTTCTATTTTTGGCTTTTGGCACCACACCCAGATGTGCTCTGGACTACTCCTGGCTGTGCTTGGGGATCCCGCCTGATGGTGCTCCGGGGACCATATAGGGTGCTGGAGGTTGAACCCAGCGCTGCCATGCTCAAGACAAATGCCCTACACTCTGTACTATCGCTCCAGCCCCAACCCATTCGTTTAACATTTCTTTTATTTTATTTTGGGGGCCCTACCCAGCAACGCCCAGGGGCTCCTCCCGGGTTTGCCCTTAAGAACTACTCCTAGCGGTGCCTGGGGGGTGGAATGCCGGGATCCAACCTGGGTGGGCTGCCTGCAAGGCAGAGAGAACAGCAGCTAGGGTGCTTACCTTGCAAGGCTGGATCCCTGGCATCCATAGGACCCCCCAAGCACTGCAGGAGTAATTCCTGCCAGGAGTGATTCCTGAGTGCAGAGCCGGGAATAAGCCCTGAGCACTGCCAGGTGTGGCCCCAAACCCAAAACAAACAAACAAAACTTGTGAGGTAAAAACCAGAGAAATGAGTTTGAGTTAAAATTCAGGAAATGAAATTACAGCTTTTATCAGATGTTGAGAAATATGGAAATGAAGCAAAGAACAGAAACCTGGCCCATGAAGCTGAGGGTTGTCACAGGTGCAGGGGTCAGGGGGAGCCACCCCCAGACCACAGAAGCACCCCCACCGCCCATCCACACCCCCCCACACACCCCCCGTGCCACACAGGGAGCAGCCCCTGAGCACTGCTAGGAGTGGTCCAAAAATCAAGTAGGAAAAAAACTACAAAAATAAGTCAACTTTTGAAACATTACAAGGAACAGCAGAGACAGCCTGTCTGCTGGGGCCGCAGTCAGTGTAGCAGGGAGGGTGCCTGCCTTGGGCGTAGCCAACCCTGATCCGATCTCATACCACATGGCCCCTGAGCCAGGACTGATCCCTGAACACAGAGCCAGGAATAAGCCCTGAGCACCGCTGGGCATGGGCTGTACCCCAACCCCCACAAAAAAATAACAAAGCTGGTCTGGTTTTAAGTATATATTTACACATTTAGTAGTTTCGTAGCTGAAGGATGTGCTTTGCACAGGCCTAGCACAGGCGGCCTCAGTCGCCTCACAATCCGCTGAGAACCTGTCACCCGCTGTTTAAAATCTGGAGGGCTTGGGGCTGGAGCGGCAGCACAGCGGGTAGGGCGTTTGCCTTGCACGCGGCCAGGCTGGGTTCGATTCCCAGCATCCCATATGGTACCCTGAGCACCGCCAGGAGTAACTCCTGAGTGCAGAGCCAGGAGTAACCCCTGAGCATCGCCAGGTGTGACCCAAGAAGCAATGAAAATCTGGAGGGCTGGTGGCCGGAGCCGCCGCACAGTAGGGAGGTTGTCTGCCTGGCATTGATCGCCTGCGTCCCATGTGGTCCCCCGGCCAGCCAGGAATAACTCCCGAGTACAGAGCCAGGTGTGGCCCCCCAAATAAAACAAAAACGTAAAAATAAAATCTAAGCCTGGAGAGACAGGGCGGTGGGCCGAGGGTCAGCCTGGCACACCAGCGGCCCGGGTTCAATCCCTGGCAGCACTCAAGGGCGCGCCCCGAGCACCGGGGCCTGGCCCGGAACGGAGGCCCGTGGGTGCCGGGAGCAAGAGCAGCGCCCGCACCCCGGGGCCCGTGCGCCCCGGGGGGCCCGCGGGTGCCAGGCGCGGGAGAGCGCGGCCCTGCAGTGCTGGGGCTCAGTCCGCCGCCCTCCCGGCGCGTCCACTGGGCCTCGCGGGCAGCGCCAGGACCCGGGACCGGCCCGGCCACATTCCTCCGGGAGGGCAGGGCCGGGGCTGGCCAGGGCGGCCTCCGCGCCGGGCCGGAGCGCCGGGACCCGGGCTCCTCGCGCTCCCGGGCGGCCCCAGAGAACCGCCAGCCGCCTCGGGGAAGCGAAGCCCGCGGCCGGCCCCGGCGGCCCCGCTGACCGGCGGGCGGCCGCGCGGCCCCGGAGGCGGCCCGGGGGGCGGGGCGAGCGCGGGCGCAGGCGCGGGGCGGGGCGGGCCGGCTGCGCGCGAAAGTCGGCGGGAACCGCGCCGCGTCCGCGCTCCCTTCCTTCCTTCCTTCCGGCGAGCCCGCCCGGCCCCGCGCGCCCGCCCCGCGCCCGGACCCGCGCCCCCCTGCACCGCGCCCCGCGCCGCCTCCCCATGGCGCAGCGCCGCCTCACCGACTTCTACGCGCGCCGGCGCCCCGCGCCCCCGGGCTCCGCCGTCCCGCGCGCCAAGCCGGCCTGGCGCACGCCGAGCCCCGCCAAGTTGGCGCCCCGCAGCCCGGGCAGCAGCCGCAAGCGCGCGCGCCCGCCCGCCGAGCCCACGCGCGACGACCCCGCGCCGCCCGCGCGCAGGAGGCTGCGGCTGCCGGCCGCCGAGGTGAGCGCGCGGCGCGGCGGGGGGCGCGGGGACGCCGGGGGGCGCGGGCCCGGTCGTCACGCGGGGCTCCCGCAGGTCCCAGAGCACGGCCCCCCGGACGCGCCCGGCCCGCCGCAGCGCCCGGCCCCCCGCGGGAAGCCCGAGAGAGCCGCGCCCGAGAGCCAGGTGAGGCGGCGGCGGGCCCGGCGGGCCGCGGGGCGGGGGACGGCCCGCTGACACGCCCCTGCCCGCAGGCCCCGGCCCCGGGCCCCGCCGAGCTCCAGCGGTGCCTGCAGCGGGCCCGGGAGCTGGGCGCCCGGGCCCGGCAGCTGACGGCCCACACCGACGATGAGGACAGACGGCCAGTTCCGGAGGCCGAGGAGTCACGGTGAGCTGGACAGGGGGTGGGCGGGCTCGGGCTCAGCAGCGTGGACGGCCAGCGTGTCTGCCCGTGCTCCAGAGCTGCCTGGGGCCGGTGGCCTCTGTATCCGGCTCTCGGGCTTGTCCTGTGGCCCCTTACAGCCCAGGCCACCGCGAGCTGGGTCAAGCCGGTGTCCAGTGTTGTGGATAGTGCCGGTTTGTGGCCAGAGGCCCTCCCTGCCCCAGAGCTGGGGGCGTCTTCCCTCAAGGCTGTCTCTCCCGGCAGCAGCCAGCTGGCCGTGCCCGCCTACCAGCGCTTCCATGCCCTCGCCCAGCCGGGCCCCCCGGGCCTGGTGCTGCCATACAAGTACCAGGTGCTGGCTGAGATGTTCCGCAGCGTGGACACGATCGTGGGCATGCTGCACAGCCGGGCCGAGACCGCCACCTTTGCCAAGGTCCAGCGTGGCGTGCAGGACGTGCTGAGCAAGTGAGCCGGGGGCCTGCAGAGCTCGTGGCTGTCGGGGGCGCCGAGTGCTCCTGCTGCCCTGACACCCCCCCCCCCCCCCCCCCCCCCCCCCCGGTCTCGCAGACGCTTCGAGGAGCACAACCTGGGCCAGATCAAGACCGTGTACCCCGCCGGCTACCACTTTCGTCAGGAGCGTGGCGTCCCCACCTTCAGGGACGGCGTGAAGAAGTCCACCTACCAGCTCACCATCGAGCCACTGCTGGAGCCCGGTGAGTGGGGCCTCCCCGGCCAGCAGTGCAGGCCCCTGCCCGGCCCGAAGGACTCAGTCTGACTTTCCCGCAGAGGAGGGGGCCGCGGCCCCCCGGCTCACGGCCTCACGCCTCCTGCAGCGGCGCCAGCTTTTCAGCCGCAATCTGGTGCAGCGGGTCCGGGAGCACCACCGGGTGAGTCTAGAGCGGGACTGGCACCCGGGTACACCTGCTCGGGGGCCCGCGGGGGCCGTCCAGGTCACCAGTCTCCCTTGCCACAGGCCTTCCTGGCCTCGCTGGACCCCCCGATGGTGGTGCCCGAGGAGCAGCTGACGTGCTGGCACCCCCGCTTTGATGTGGACGGGGTCCCCGACATCGAACCTGCAGAGCTGCCCCAGCCGCCCCAGGCAGAGAAGCCGGCCACCGCCCAGGAGGTGCTGGCACGGGCCTGCAGCCTGCTGTCACCCAGGGTGAGAGGGGCCACCGTGGTGGGCACACGGGTGTCTGGGCAGAGGGAGCTGAAGTCGGAGCCCCTGACACCTCAACCCTTGCCCAGATGGAGCGGGCCCTGACGGCCCTGGCCCAGCGCACAGCCCAGGCCGACAGCCCTGCGCCCCCCAGCCTCCCGCCGCCGGCCTCCCCGCCCACCACGCCCACCGCCCTCAAGGGGGTGCCTCAGGCCCTGCTGGAGCGGGTGAGTGTTGGGGGCAGCGGGTCTGGTGCTGGCTGCTGCGGGCGCTCACGGCTGCCACCCCACAGGTCCGGGCCAAGGAGGCGCAGAGGCAGCTGGCGCAGATGACACGGAGCCCGGAGCAGGAACAGCGGCTGGGGCGGCTGGAGCGGCTGCCCGAGATGGCCCGGCTGTTGCGCAGCGTCTTTGTAGCTGAGCGCAAGCCAGCACTGGCTATGGACGTGGCCTGTGCCCGGATGGTGGGCAGCTACCGCTCAGCCATGAGCCCTGGTACGTCCGGCCCTCCTGGGCTCAGCCTGGGCACTCCCTGCGCTCGGCGCCTCACCCGCCTTCTCTCTGCAGAGGAGATGGAGCGGCACCTGCGCCTTCTCGCCGAGCTGCTGCCCGACTGGCTGAGCCTGCACCGCGTCCGCTCCGACACCTACGTCAGGGTGGACAAGGCGGCCGACCTGGCCGGCCTCGCTGCCCGGCTGGAGCGCCTGGCACGTGCTGAGGCAGCACTGTGACGTCAGCACAGGCTCTGGACCCAGCTGTGAGCGGACGATCCCACGCCAGGGGGAGGGGCACGCTGGCCAAAGGAGGCCGGCCTGCCCGCCTGCAACGTGTGCAATTAAAGTGCTTAAACTGGTGGCATCGCTGCTTGGGGACTGGGGGTCCAGGTGGGCCCTGCGGGGCGGGCGGGGCACAGGCGCCGGCCCTCCAGAGGCCAGTCTCATTCCCCTAGCCGCAGGCATGTGCCTGCCACCCGGTCAGCTAGACAGGAGACAGCACTCTAGCAAATGAACCATTTATTCCGTCTGGGTCCCCGACTGGACCTGCAGCCCGGGGCTGGGCACTTCCTGAGCCCCAGGCGGCCCAAGCCTGACCCCAGACCAAAGTTCCAAGCAGGCAGCCAGCGCCCCCTGGTGGCCGGCGGGGCCCCAGGCTGTCAGCAGGAGGGGTGGTCACTCGAACTGCAGGAGGGAGAAGAAAGGCACGCTGCCCAGCTTCTCCCGGCCCTTCAGCGAGGTCAGCTCCACCAGGCTCACGCACTCCAGCACCTCGGCCCGCAGCAGGCTCAGCAGCTCACAGGCGGCGCGCATGGTCCCTGCGGGGACGGCAGTGTGAGGCCCGGCTCCAGGCAGGGAGGGAGTGTGGGCTGGCCACCCGGGGCTCACGGGGGCCTCACCGCCAGTGGCGAGCAGGTCGTCCACGACCACCACCTTCTGCCCCGGCTCCAACGTGTCCTTCTGGATTTCCAGTTCAGCCTGCAGAAGGGGGGCGGGTGGCGGCGTGGGCTCCCGGGTCGGCCTCCTTGGCTCTGCCACGCGGCGCCCCTCGGACTCACCTTCCCGTACTCCAGAGCGTAGGAGACGGACACGGTGGGGCCCGGGAGCTTGCCCCGCTTCCGGATGAGCACGCAGCCCAGGCCCAGCTCCTGGGCCAGGGAGGGGCCAAACAGGAAGCCGCGGGAGTCCAGGCCTGTGGGAGGCAGCCCGCCGGGACGTGAGCTCTTCCCGCCCAAAGGCCACGGGCGCCTGTCTCCTGCAGGACAGCCAGGCCCTGACCAGGCTCCAGGGCGTCAGTCCGCGGCGCGTGGTCTGCGGCTTGCTGGCCGCGCTAGGACGCCGGCGCGGGCCGGACACGCCCAGGGCAAGGCCGAGGACGTGCCTCGACCCAGACGTGGGGCCCCGGGGGCGAAGGTCCCGGTCCGCGCCGCTGTCCCCTGGTCCACGTGGGCCGTCGCAGGCAGTCCGGCGTCAGCGCTCCGCGTCCCCGGCCCCCCAGCGCGCCCCGGCAGGGCGGGGGCGCCACCTGCGGCCTCCGCGTGCCCGGCCCCGGGACCCCGGGACCCCGGGACCCCGCGCCCGCGCGGCCCCACTTGCCCGCGATGTAGTCGATGCGGCCGTGGCTCCTGCGCAGGTGCCGCGCCAGCAGGAGGATGGCGGCGCGGAAGGAGTCGGGGTCCTTGAGCAGGGGCGAGATGTCCCTGCAGGCAAGCACAGGCCCGTGACCCAGCCGCGGGGGGCCGCGCCCCGCGGGGCCCGCGCCCGCCGCCCGCGCCGCACCTGAACATCACGCCCGGGATGGGGAAGTCGGGGAAGCTGCGGATGCGCCGCGCCACCAGCTGCAGCTCGGGGTCCGCCATGGCGAGTCCGCGCGCGTCCGCGGGCGAGCGGGGCGGCGGCGGCGCGCCTGCGCGGGGCGGGGCCGAGCCGGGAGGGGGCGGGGCCCAGCCAGGAAGCGGGCGGAGCACAGTCAGGAAGAGGGCGGAGCGGAACGGAGGGGCGGGGCGCAGCCAGGAAGAGGGCGGGGCACAGTCAGAAAGCGGGCGTGACAGAGCTGGGGGCGGAGCCCAGCCAGGAAGAGGGCGGGGCACAGTCAGGAAACGGGCTGGGCAGAACTGAGGGGCGGGGCCCAGCCAGGAAACGGGCGGAGCCCAGCCAGGAAGAGGGCGGGGCAGAACTGAGGGGCGGGGCCCAGTCAGGAAGAGGGCGGGGCATAAATGAGGGCGGGGGGGCAATCAGGAAGAGGGCGGGGCCAGACACTCCGTTCTTCCTACTGTACCAAGACGCGTTCCTTCTGGTTTTTGAGCATTTAAAAAAACCAGTGGAGGTGGGAGGAGCCCGAGGTGCGAGTCAGTGTTCATAAGATCCAGTCTACTGCGTGTTCGCAGGCGGGACCAGACGACGTGGGGAAATCCTCGTGCGGTGTCATGGTTTTGGCCAGGCGGGGGGAACACTAAGTAAGTTCTGTGGGCATCTTTGAGCGCGACCCCAGGGCCTCCCTTTCCCCCCTACACCTCTGTTTCTTCCTGGAGGGGCTGGGCTGAGCCCCTGGTGTTTGGTTGCATAAGCGTGCGCTTTGCAGGGCAGACACGGTAATGAGCCGTCCCGGGTAAGAGCTAGGTGGACAGGGTGCGGGCCACCCAGAGTTTGTGCCTGGCTCCTGATCAGCCATACTGGGAGGTGGAGGGCTGGTGCTTGGGCCACCCCCTGTCTGAGGAAGGGCAGCGACCCGTATCAGCCATGAGGTCGTGTCTCCAGCCCACACCCAGTATAATCTCGAGTGCTTGCTCTGCGTGTGAAGCCCTGGGTTCCATCCCCCAGGCCTGGAGAATATCTCTGAGGGTGAGCAGAGCACATGCACAACTTGCAGGAGACCCGGGTTCAATCCCTGATATCCCGTCCCCCACCCACTGCTGGGTGTGGCTCAACTCCCCCAACCAAAAGAACGATTTTTAAATAAAACACTAGCTGGAGAGACAGGACAGCTGGCAGGTTGTTTGCCTTGCACCGGGCCAACCTGGGTCTGATCCCTGGGACTCTGCATGCTTCCTTGAGCACTGTCAGGAATGATTCCTGAGCAGAGCCAGGAGTGAGCCCTAAGTAGTCCCTGTTCTGGCCCCCAAGCAAACAAAAACAGAGACACCAGAGTTAAAATGTCTGTACTTTTTCCCTAGAACTTCCTTCAAATTCCAGAAGTCTCACAACATGGGCCTGAGCCCAGAGATCTTGCAGGGCCTGGTGGTGGTTGAGGGTGTGCAACATCTCCCGGTGCTGGAGGTTGGAGCCTCTGAAGGCGTTGCTGGCACTGCGGCATCTCCTCTGCCTCCTGGGGGAGCAGAGGCTGCTGAGTGCCAGTCCTGCCTCCTCCTTCACTCTCGCAAGAAGACTCCGTAGAGGTCACTGCCCAGGGGACCTGGGGGCAGCCCAGGGGCTACTGCAGGGCAAAGAGGCCAGGGCAGCCTGGAGGCGAGGAGCAGCTGTGGCGGCACCATCTCCGGTCACGGGCAGCACAGACGGCGCTGGCTTTCCCGTCTGGCCAGAGTTCACGCTGTGGCTAGTGGGCCCAGGAGCACTTCTCAAGGGCGGACTCAGGAGGCGTCAGGCACTTCCCCAGCTTCTCACAGCCTGGGGGCGCCCAGTTCTGGGGGTGAAAATTCAGAGCAAGTGGTCACCCTACTAGGCTCTCCACGTGTGCAGAAGCGCGCAGTGGCCCGGGTGGGCGGGGCCGGAAGAGGCGCGTTTGGTGGGCGGGGCCGAGAGGGTGTTGGTGGGCGGGGCAGATTTGGCGGGCGGGCTGGAAGAGGTGGAGCCACGGGAGGGGAGGGGAGGGGAGGGGCTGGGAGCACACTGGCCGGGTGAGCCAAGCCCTTCTCCTGGGGCCAGTGCCGGCCAGTAGGCCGGTGCCCTTCTGGGGCCAGCTCAGGCCCCGCCCCAGGCCTCTGCACTCACCATGGCCGCGCGGTCACACACGTTGAGCTGGGGCTGTCCTGGGACCAGCGTGTCCAGGTGCTGTTGCACGAGCGGGCGGAACCTGCCCAGGGCGGCCTGGTACTCTGCGCTCCTGAAGCTGCAGGATGGCCACTGTCATCCAGGTGGCACTGGCCCTGACCGGGCAGGGGAGCGGACGCTGGGTGGGGGAGCCCCGGGTCTCCCACAGGACAATGCTGCTGCTGGACAGCTTGGGGTGGGCACCAGGACCTGGACACCTTGAGGGGCGTGGTCGGGCTCACCTGAGGGGGAACCTCTCCCCCGGGTCACGGCCCAGGTGGAAGATCAGGGGCAGCTCCGTGTGGTCCTGCTGCGTGTGCGTGGTCACGCCCGACACATTCTGCCCTGGGCAGAAGTCGATGCCCTGAGGGGGGCAGAGGCTGAGCTGTCCACCCCTCTCACTACCCTGAGGGGCGGAGGACAGGCAGGGGCAGAGGCCCAGAATCTGCTGAGTGGGGGTGGGCAGAGCTGACCTGGCCTGGCCAACACAGTTCCTTCCCAATCAAGCGGGTGGGGGTGGAGACCCACCGTCTACTCCCCGTCCAGCTGCACCGACCCCTGCTGGGAATGTCGGGCACTGTCCAGGCCCGACCCAAGCAGCTCACCTGCCTAAACTCCTCCCAGGAGTTGGTCCAGGTCCAGAAGTGCGCCTTGTACTGGCCCATGGTGACGGCCATCAGTGTGTTGCCACGGTAATAGAAGATGGGCCTGTGTACGGGGAGGGGTCTCAGGAACAGGAGACCCCAGCAGGGCCAGCACATGGTTCTGTGGGAAGGGGGCGCTGAGGTCTCCCCCACCCCTGCAGCAGGAGGGACGGGGGAGGAGCCAGCACACCTGTCGGTCAGCTGGCCATGCAGCAGGGCCGGGAGCAGGTCCAGACCATCGATGTGCCGGTCAGTGGGCGGCTGCAGGCCCGCAAGGGACAGGCTGGTGGTGAAAAGGTCCATGATGGTGCCCAGCTGGTGGCTCACCTGTAGGGAAGCAGGGGCATGCTGAGGGCCACAGGGACAGTCTGACCCAGACACACCCACACGAGGGCCACAGGGTGTGAAGGGGTCGCAGAGGCGTCATCCTGACCCAGCAGGCAGGGACACGTGGGCTCTCATCAGGGAGAGAGCCCTGGGGTGCATGGACCGGGTCGACCCTCAGCCCCTCCACTCTAGGCCATGGGGACAGCACCTCTAGGAGGCAGGGGCCCTGGGACCCCGACTTTCACCTAGTAGAGGGTTCCAGGGGCCAGCAGCGGACTGCCAGTGACAACACCACCCTCCGAGCTCTGTGGGGGGCCGCCTGGAGTTGCGACAGACAGTGCCCCGCCTGGGGTTTCCAAGGCCTGAACCCAGGGGCCATCCCGTGTGGGGGACCAGGACCCAGTCAGGGTGGCAGCCCTCCCCCCGGGTCCCTGTCTGGCCCCCACCCCACCAGACAGCAGGGGGCATCAGAGCAGGACAGCCCCACCTGGCCCCCGTGGGCTGTGAGTGGCAGGAAGGGGCCTCCCCGACCCACCTTGCCCGCGGGGATATGGCCGGGCCACCAGGCGACGGCGGGCTCCCGCATCCCGCCCTCGAAGGTCGTCTGCTTCCCGCACAGGAAGGGCCCGTTGCTGCCTCCTGGGGGAAGAGTCGCTGGCTCAGGCCACCGCAGTCCCCCAGTCCCGCGGTCAGGAGAGGATGGCCCTGCGGGGTGTCCCTGTGGGCAGCGCCAGTGCCCGGGCTGCAGACCCGCCTTGTCTGGGCGCAGACACCAGAGCAGCGCCGTTGTCGGAGGTGAAGAAGACGAAGGTGCTCTGTGCGAGGCCCAGGTCCCGCAGCAGCTGGAGGACCTGCCCCACGCTGTCGTCGATCTCCCGGACTGCGTCCCCATACCTGCGGCACAGACCTGCATGGGGCCCTGGGCCTGGCCCGCTGCCCGGCAGCCCTGGCCTCGGTGCTGCCCGTTCTCACCTTCCACGCTGGCTGGTGCCCAGGAAGGGCCGGGAGGCGTACACGGGGGCGTGCGTGGCGTCCACCGCCCAGTAGAGGAAGAAGGGCTGCGGGGAGGCCTGCTGCCTCTTGATGAAGTCCAGGGCTTCCTGGCGAGAAGACACACTCTCGTAGGCCCCCCAGGGCCCCCCAGGCTGCCCCAGACCCCCCAGTCCCCCTCACCTGCAGGTATATCTGAGTGAGGTTAGATTCGCCAGTCTTCAGGTCGATGGGAAATTCCTCATAAAACCTGGAAACGGGGGCCAGAGCCATAGTTCAGCGGGGAGGGCGTCTGCCTGGCACGCAGCTGACCAGGGCTCAACCCCCGGCATCCCAGAAGGTCCCCTGAGCACAGCCAGGAGTGATTCCTGAGTTCAGGGCCAGAAGTAACCCTGGGCATTGCTGGGTGTGGACCCCAAAACAAAAACGAAACAACACCTAGAAACAAGACTGGGGAGAGGACGGGGAACGCCTCCGCCAGGCACAGGGCTGACTCCAGTGTGATGATCCATCCCAGCATAACAGTCCCTCCCCGAGGAGTGATCCCTGAGCACGGCCAGGAGGAATCCCAGAACAGAGCCCGGGGTGATCCATGAGCAGAACCAGATGAGGCTCACAAGCCAAAACCAGCCCCCTGAGATCAAGGTGGCAGCAGAGAGAAAGCGGTGAGAACCAGAGGAGGCCAGCTCCGACCTCAAACCCTTGGGCTTCCTTTGTGCACAGCGCTGGGACAGGTCTGTCCGACGGGGGCACTGGCCGGGGGGCTGTGCTACAGGGTGCCAGGGAGAGAAGGTTCTGGAGCAGAGGGCTGTGGGAGCACGGACAGCTGGTGCCTGCAACGTGACCCTGGCTCCTGGCACGTGGCTGCTGCTCTGGGCCCGCCCTCCTAGCCTGCTCCCTGCAGGCGACGTTACCTGCCGACCATTTCCCAGTCCCTGTACACAGGGAGGTTGGGCCGAGCCCTGTTGTCGTAGGGTCCGAAGTGGCAGTTGGGGGATCCGAACCACTCGTCAAAGCCGTGCTTCAGCGGGTGGAACTGTGGCCTGTGGCCCAGGTGCCTGGAACAGAAACCCAAGGCGGGTTGCCCCGAGGCGCCCGACCATGTGTCCATGGCATGACCGCGAGCGCACCAACCTGGGCTCACAACCTGGCATGGGGGCTTGCCGAGGCCGCGGCCACAGAAACCACAAGGTGCAGAGGGCATGTGGCACAGAGCGTGGCTGAAGCTGAGGAGGGGGTGAAGAAGGTTGTCAGGACTCTGCCAGGTGGCATCTGTCAGCTGTTTCACCCCTGCCGACCCCTCTGCCCAGTGCTCTGGCTGTGCGGGCCCAGGAGGGAGTGGGTGTCCAGACGGACTCACGGTGCGGCTGGGCCGGGACAGGGCACCGGCAGAGCACAGGATTGGCCCAGGCCACCCCACAGCCAGGCACTCTCTTTACAGGTCTGTGCCTGGCTGGGGTCCCCACCCCCTTCCCACAGCAGTGCCCGGTGGGGTCCTCACATCCACAGAATGAGAACAGTCCTGTCCAGTGGGGCCAGCAGTCCTGGGCACAGGCCGGCTCAGACCCTGGCACCGCAGGTGAGCAGCTCTGCTCAGACACTGTGCTCGGGGACAGCACGGGATGTCCCTGGGGGCCAAGACAACCCCAAGTCACCGTGTCTCTGCTGGGTTTGTGGTCCGGGAGCCGTGGGGAGACTGGCTGGGCCTGGGAGAGCCATGCTGGCCAGCACCTGCAGCTGGGCCTTGTTTTTCCAGAGGATTCCAGAAAATTCTGCTGTGATGTGGTCAGGGCCTCTGCTCAGACCACTACCCACAGCTCCGAGAGGGGCCTCTGTGCGGCCTGGACTCTGTGAGCCATGGCACATGGCGTGGCCTGCCAGCTGTGTTCCGAGCACTGTCCCCACCTGCTGTCACGTGAACAGGCCGACTCCAAGGCCTGTCATGGCCCCGAGACACCACCGTGCACTGGACCCAGAGCCAGCCCTGGCAGCCTGCTCCTGGCGAGGTGAGGCTGGGGAGACCCCACCCCTTGTGCCAGGGTCCACGGCAGGTAAGCTGGCACCAATGGGACCCAGAGTGACCCCTCCAGGCTGTGGCCGGGCAGGACAGTTCTCAGCTCTCCAAAGTGGGGTGCCTCCTCCGAGCACCCCCTGGGGAGCAGGAAGAGTCCCCAAGAGCCATGACGGGCACCGGGCTCGAGGCTCCCTGGGAGCACCCCCTTCACGGGGTCCATGTGGGAACTCAGCAGCCGTGGCCGCACAGCCCTGTCACGCGGGTGGGTACCTGGGTGACTGGGGAGGACGAGGGAGGGCGGAGCACGAGCCCACCCATCGGGCAGGCCTGGCCACTCACCACTTGCCCACGATCTTGGTGACGTAGCCGGCACCTCTGAGAAGCTCCGGCAGGAGATGCTCCGAGTCAGGGATGCCCCCCACAACCTCCTGGGGCGTGTAGGCTGGAAGGGAAGGCATGGAACACCCTGTTCCCCTCGGCAGGCGGCACCAAGGGTCTCTCCGTGGCACCTCCGGCCCCTGTGGACAGCAGCATGGTGGCTGGTCCCAGGACCCTACCATTTCTGGCGTGGCCGTTGGTGGTGTAGAAGCCGTTGCGGATGGGCAGACGCCCTGTGAGCAGGGCCGCGCGGGCTGCGGGAGAGGAGAGGCTCCAGGTGGGGGCAGGCGGGGGGCCTCCGCAGGGGAGGGGTCCCTCTGCCCTCGGGCGCGGCACTCACAGGGGGAGCAGAGGGGGTTGGCCGTGTAGAAGTTCGGGAAGAGCATGCCCTCCGCGGCCATCCGGTCCAAATTCGGAGTCTCTCTGGAAGGTTCTCCATACACCCCCAGGTCGCCCCAGCCCATCTGCAGATGAGAGCAGGTGGGGGAGTGCAAGGCACCCCCCAGGCCCCCCAGAGTGTGGGGCTGCAGATCCAGGAGGACCCACGGAGGCTGTCACAGGCCCGAGGCCGGGCGGAGAGCCAGGTGGGCGCTGAAGGGGGTGCCGCCAGGGAGCCTCGAGCCCAGGTGCCCTGGACTGCCCACAGACTGGGCACTCAAAGGGGCCCCAGGTCCTGTGCCATGTCTGAGAATGCAGGGTCAGAGGCTCACAGGGGACAGGCTAGGACGAGCCCCCTAAATCTCCCACACAGACCCCCACCGCCGCAGCCCTGACCTCCTTCCTTCCTGCGGTTCTCAGCCTGGGCGGGGCACCTCCCCCTTGCTGCTGACTTGGGGTGCATGCCGGAAGCCCGCCACCGAGGGGCAGGCTGGGAGGGCCTCCTGGGTGCCCCCTAGCTGAGACGCACATGCACCTAAATCTAAATTGCACGTGTCGAATCTCCCCCAGACCCCACCGCAAGGCAGAATGGCAAGTCACGCCTGATGGGGTGGGGCCCATACTGGCTGCATGCCAGGGCCCCAGAAATACGGGCATCACCCGTGTCAGTGCAGACCCAGCAACAGGTGGAAAAGGGACGGTGGGGGCAGCTGCTTTGATGACCCTAATACACACACACCTTCGTCACACGGGTGTGATCAATAGTGCAATTACCCTAGTACACCCCATGCTTCTTTACACTAATTCAATCATACCTTAATTATCCTAATATTCTCCTGACATTCGTCACAGTAACATAACCCAAACCTTAATCACCCCAATAGACCTCCTACCTTAATTATCCTAATACACTCGGGACATTAGTCACAGTAAAAGAACCAAAACCTTAATTACCCCAATAGACGTCCCACCTTAATTATCCGAACACACTCTATACCTTAACTGTCCTAACACAGGCCACCCCTAGGTCACCCTAGTGGGCCCCAGCTAAGGAGCCCCCGGGGCCCTGGCATCAGTGCAGCCCCCTGCCAGCAGAGCCCGGGAGGCGGCAGAGCCCAGCACCAGCCCCTCGCAGCCCCGCCTCAGGCTCCGCGTGCTGGCTCCTGTCGGCCCTGGGGTGCTGGGGACCGAGTGCAGCAGGCCCGGGGTCCCGCCCGGGGCCAGCCAGAGACCTCGCCCACTCAGGCCCGGGCTGGGCGCCAGCTCTGTCCCCTCGGGCCCTCCCGGCCGCCGCTGCCCGCTCCGCTGGCCTTTGGGGGCTCTCGGGCTCAGCGCGGCGCCGCGGGGAGCGTGGCTGTCCCTGCCCACGCGGGAGGGCTGCTCCAGGCTGATCCCGAGCCCGGCGGGCGTGGGACCCCGTGGGGCAGCCTCCGGCGGACGGCCCGGGAGTGGGGGTCCCGCGAGGGCCCGGCGGCGCCAACTCACGTCGTCCATGAGCAGGAGCAGAATGTTGGGGGCCCGCGGGGCGCCCGCCGCCCTCGGCTCGCGGCTCAGCAGCGGCAGCAGCAGCAGCAGCCGCCACCTCGCTCCCGCCGCCGCCGCCATGGCCCCACGCGGGCCCGGGACCCGCGCCACCGAGCCGCCACGGGACCCTCTGCGGGGCCGGCCGAGGGACGGGAGGGGCGGGGCGAGGCCGGGTGCGTGACGGGAGGGGCGGGGCGAGGCCGGGTGAGTGACGGGAGGGGCGGGGCGAGGCCGGGTGAGTGACGGGAGGGGCGGGGCGAGGCCGGCTGAGTGACGGGAGGGGCGGGGCGAGGCCGGGTGAGTGACGGGAGGGGCGGGGCGAGGCCGGGTGCGTGACGGGAGGGGCGGGGCGAGGCCGGCTGAGTGACGGGAGGGGCGGGGCGAGGCCGGCTGAGTGACGGGAGGGGCGGGGCGAGGCCGGGTGAGTGACGGGAGGGGCGGGGCGAGGCCGGCTGAGTGACGGCGGGTGGAACCAGCCCTCCTAGCGCCGGGCGGGGCGGGGCCCGGCGGGTCCCGTGACCGAGGGCGAGTCACGTGACGCGGCCCTGCGGGCCAAGATGGCGGTATGCGTGGCGGTGATCGCTAAGGAGGTGCGTAGGGCGGAGGCAGCTCCCGCGGACTGCCGCCTGCTGACCCCTGCCGGGCGGGGGCACCGGAAGAGCAGCAGGGGTGGGGCGGCCCCCTCCAGCTCCGCCCAGCACCTGGTGGCCGGGTGTCCCCTCCTTCCCGCAGGCTCCGCTTTGGGTCCTGGCGTCCTAGCTGTTCCCTGCTTGCCCGGCGCAGCGGGCCGCGTTTCCTCGGCACCGCTGAGAGCCTCTGCCCGGGAACCCACCCGTTACCTCCGGGGCCCACATTCCCCGGGGGGCCATTTCCGGGCCGAGACTGAGCCGAGCCGCGGGCCGGCCCGCTAATGGGCAGCCGCCTGCCCGCACTCCACCGCGGTGCTCGGGGGACGGTGCTCACCTGGCCCCTCTCTCGCAGAACTACCCGCTGTACATCCGCAGTGTCCCCACGGAGAGCGAACTCAAGTTCCACTACATGGTGCACACGTCGCTGGACGTGGTGGACGAGAAGGTCTCGGCCATGGGCAAGGCCCTGGTGGATCAGCGGGAGCTGTACCTGGGCCTGCTGTACCCCACAGAGGACTATAAGGTGTATCCTTTCCCGGGGCTCCCATCTCTGGGTTCCTCTGAGGTGGGGAGGCGTTTCCGAGCTCATTTGCAAGGAAGGTCACCGTGAGGGCTTCCAGCATGCCAGGAACAGGGCAGCCCGAGGAGCCACGGACTTACTCTTTCCTTCATAGTGACTTGGAGTGTGTGGAGTGCAGACATGCCTTCAGTGGAGTAGTTCAGGGAGAGGTTCCCTGACGCAGCCTTAGCTGTGTGGCTGCCTCGCCGGGATGTGCCTCTGGGAACTTTTGCAGTTAGACCGACAGGGTCTGGGAAGGTGGACTCCCAGTTTAGTCAGGGTCGAGTGCAGCTCCGTAGCTGGGAGGTTCCTCGTGCCCCTGCACCCAGGCATGGCTGCCACCAGCTCCGCGTGCTGAATCCCACATGGCGTCTCCTGTCAGAGGTGTGTTTCCTGACAGACATACAGGTACGGCTACGTCACCAACTCCAAGGTGAAGTTCGTCATGGTGGTGGATTCCTCCAACACGGCCCTGCGGGACAACGAGATCCGCAGCGTGAGCACATGCAGCATGCAGGCGTGTGTGTTCTGTGCTTGCCTGGGCGCATGTGTGAATGTGCCTGAACATGTGTGTGCATGCCTAAGCATGTGTGCATACCTGAACATGTGTGTGCCTGAGTGTGTGTGCCACAGCGTCTGTACATGCCAGTGTGTGCATGACTGAGCTTGTGTGTGCCTGAATGTATGTGTATGCCTGAGTGTGTGCGCGTACCAGAGCGCGTGCGTGTGTGTGTGTGCGTGTGTGTGTATGCCTGAGTGAGAACCGTGCTGCCTTTCGTTGCAGATGTTCCGGAAACTGCACAACTCCTACACAGACGTGATGTGCAATCCCTTCTACAACCCAGGCGACCGCATCCAGTCCAGGTGGGCCCTGTGCTCCCCAGCTCCCTGCCCTCCTAACTTAGAGGCCATCTGTCGGTCACGAGGGGACGGCTGTGCCCCCACAGCAGGCTCTGCAGTGGCTGCAGCACCCCAACATCCCTGGAAGTGGGTGCGGTGAGGACCCCCACGTGCCCTCTCTCAGCCGAGATGCTGTGTAGTCCCCCGGCTCCTGGGGCCCAGGTGCACAGCAGGAGGCTTCTCCCCGGGGGGCTGACACTCCCTGTGGGTACGGCCTGACGGGGCTTGGCCGCTGTCCTGCAGGGCCTTTGACAGCACGGTGGCAGCTATGATGACCCAGGTGTGCTGAGGGACGGCGCCACCACCTCAGGAGCGGCCGGTCTGTCCCTGCGGTACCCACGTCCTGTTCCGCCCCTGTGCCCTGGGGCCACCAACTAAAGTGTGTGTGTGCGTTCAGTGTGCTGTCTGCTCTGCTGCGTCGGCCAGGCTGGGGCCGACATACGGAGGCCCAACCCCTGCTCAAATGGTGTCCGGCACCCAGTGCTGGCGGGAGCCCGGGACCCTCAGGTGCATCTGCGCCTCCCCTGCCTCAGTGCAACTGGGCCGTGAGCTCTGGTGGCCGTGGGCAGTGTGGCTGCGAGGTGGGCAGGTGGCAGCAGGAGGAGGGAAATGGGGGGCTCTTCCTGCACTAGACCCCCCAAGCACGGACCTACCCCGCCCTCGCGCCCAACGTCCTGGAGGCCCCCTCAGCTGCACGTGGCCTTACCGGGCCTTCAGACCATGACTGTGTCTCCCACTGTGTCCTGTGGAGCCTGTCGGCCTGGTCGTTCCTCCTGCCCTGTGTCCTCTCAGCACCCCCCAGGAGCCCGCTGACCATGATGGAAGACTGAGGGCCACGTACCCCACTCCCGCCTGCAGGGCGCCTGGGCAGCTGTGGGCCCACCCCCAGACCCCCTCCTGGTGCTGGCTGTGCAGCCCTCCCGGCCTGGCGTGGCTCCCCCACAGGGCCACGGGCCATGTCCGGCCCTGAGAGACACTGGCCGTGGGTGGCTTTAAAAGAATATTCTCGTTTATTAGTTCATGCTCCGTGTTAAGATGCGCATTCTTTCTTTGTGTTAAAATGTCTGGCCCCGTCCAGTCCTTGCCGCACAGCGCCAAGCCACCCCACCGCGTCCCACGTCGTCACCGCTTCTTCCCCGAGCCCCTCCAGGGAAGAACGGGCCAGTTTTGCACACTGCCCGTCCCTGGTGGCTGGCCGGCCCTCGACTCCGGACAGGAATGCTGCCCCAGGCTGTGGCTAGCGCGGCGGGCACCACGGGAGGGCCCTCCTCCGGGTTCTGCAAGGGAGAGGCAGCGGGTCCTGACCAGCACCCAAGGACGGGAGGCCCAGAGGGTGGAACCAGGCGAGCACTTGACGCCAGCGGGTCCCCCATTTCAGCGTGGCAGTGGGCAGGCACCCCCGGGCTGCTCACCGGCTCCACCGCTGTGGTCTGAAGCAGGAGGAGGCCCCGCCCCTGGGCCCCCGGCATCTCTGCAGGCCCCCTCGGTCAGTGGAGCTGATCCCTGGGATGTTTGTCCTTTTGGGCAGCACCTGGAGCCATAGGCGGGTTAGCCCTCAGCCCTTTGTTCTCCCCCAGACCACCAGCCTGAGCTGGGGCAGCCCCCAGGGCAGGGTCACTTCCCCAAGGAAGCCTTCCCGGGCTTACCTGTTGAGGTTCACAGACCCCAGAGCCTGGGATTCCCCAGGCATCACCCTGTACCCAAGCTCCTTCGTCTTCTGGCAGCACCTGTGACGCCCAAGCCGCGATGCCCCCCCAGAGCGGCCTGGAGCAAGCTGCACCCCTCACGTACCTTGAGGATGCGGCCTCTGAAGACGCTGCAGTCCAGCCCCTGGGCGGCCCGCACGGAGCTCTCGCTGGCAAACTCTATGTAGGCGTAACTGCAGGGGTGTGAGGCCCCGGTACTCCCTCGGCTCCAGCCCGCCCCAAGCCCCTACTGACCCCTTGGGGTGTCCGGAGAACTTGTCGCACAGGATGGTGACGCGGTGGATGTCCCCGCAGTGGGTGAAGTGGGCCCCCAGCTCCAGAGCCGAGCCCCCGTAGTCCACCTGTGGGGACCACCACGGCGGTTCCTGCAGGCCACGCCGGGGGGCGCTCCCGCCGGCGTCCCCCGCCCCACCTGCTCCCTTCACTCACGTTGCCCACGTAGACAGATCTGTGGTCAGCTGCCACCGCCGTGGGGCTCCGTGGACAGGACCACCCTTCAGGGGGGATGCAGGGCTCCCGAGACCCTGGCACTGGGGGCCGCCTGGCTGGGCGCTGACCTGTCCCTGGGGCCCACGTATCCTCGTTGCCTGCCAGGCCCTGTGTGCTGACCTCCATAGCCCGCTCCATGGCCCACCGTGTTCGCCTCATGGCCTCCAGCTCCTGAGGGACACGCACACGCGTGTGCAGGCAGCCCTCACCTCTCGCAGGCAGGCTGCCGCCCTCTGCCTCCCCTCTGCAGACTACCTGGGTGGGCGCTGGGCACTCGGCTGGGTCCTCCCCCTCCCAGACAGACAGCAGGACCTCAGCCTCGTCCTCTCCACACACACCCGCGGGGGTCACCTCAGCTCTGCCCCAGGCACCCCAGCCCTGGGCCGCAGGGTCCGAGGAGGCCCGCTGCAGCCAGTCCTCGGAGGGCGGGGGGAACAGAGAGCTGCTGAGAGGCCACATGGCGGGCGGCGAGAGCAGCTCTCAGCTCCGGGCGGGGCTGGAAGCCTCACCTGTCTGCCCGGGATTTTCAACCCTCGCGCCCGTGCCAGCTGCTCCCACTCAGGGCGGGGCAGGCCCAGCTGGGCTGAGCTCCCGGCCTTGCAGCCGCTGCTCCTCTTCCCCCACCAGAACGCGCCAGGCAGAAACGGGTGGGTCCTCCCCTGCAGTGTCCCCGAGATCTGGCCACAGGGCTGACCTGGGATGGCCCCCGGGACTCAGGTCCTTCTGGGGGCCACACCCCCTGCCCAGTGTCACACAGTAGGGGCAGGCCCGGCCAGAGGATTTGGTCATGAGCAAGGCCTCCAGGTGTGCAAGGCAGGCAGAGTGGCTTCCTGGAGGAGGTGGTATTAGCACTACCCCTAAGGACTGGTCAGGCAGAACTGATGGGACTGGCCACTAGAGTCAAGGAGCTGAGTCTTTTTATTATTATTATTATTTTTATTAGTGAAACACCATGAGGTACAGTTGTGGACTTACAGATTTTTGTGCCTGGGTTTCAGTTATACAATGATCGAGTACCCATCCCTCCACCAGTGCTCATTCTCCACCAACACGGATCCCAGTATCCCTCCCACCCTCCATCCCCCCATCCCACCCTGCTTCTGTGGCAGGGTATTCCCTTTTGTTCTCTCTCCTTTTGGGTGTTGTGGTTTGCAAAAGAGGCAATGGGTGACAATCATGTTTGGTCTAGTCTACTTTCAGCATGCTTCTCCCATCCTGGGAGGATCCTCCCAACACCCTTTATTTGGTGCAGGAGCTAAGTCTTAAACCAAGGGAAGGGTCAGAGGCCCTGGGGCTGGTCCAGGAGATGGGGGGTGTCGGTAGCCTTCATCTCTTCTGCCCTTACTCCCCCCACCTTCCTGCTTCCGGTGGGCCTCACCTAATACAGCACTGGAGCCCTGCCCTGGCTCTGAGGAAGACCTGAAGGCTGGCCTGTGGGCACGGCCCCTGTGCACGCTGCTTCTCTATTGGTTGCTCAAGCCTAACCCTTTGTGGACCCCCACGCATGTCCTGGGGCCCCCCGCGAGTATCACAGATCCCTGAGCATGTCCCAGTCCCCTGGAGCGTATCCTGGGGCCCCAGCACATGTCCCAGGACCCCCATGTGTCCCAGGGTCCCCTGAGTGTCCCAGCCCCCACCCCGAGCATGTCTCAGGACCCCAAGCGTGTCTCAGGGTCCCCCACATGTCCCATCTCCCCTGAGCGTGTCCCAGGCCCCCCGCCTGTGTCCTGGGGCCCGCGAGCATGTCCGTGGCCTCCAGTGAGTGCTCAGCATCTCCAGACCTGACCCAGGGTGAGGACTGCTTCATTGCAGTTGCAGTGGACGCTGGAGTCGACCTGCAGCTGGGCCACTGCCCACAGGTGGGGCACCTTCCCTCCTATTCCCCTCCTTTGCCCGCCCCCCCCCCCCCCCCCCCCACGGAGGGAAGGCCCTTGGGGCTGCCCTCCTCTCTGGTGGAGGCGCCTCCCTGGGCCATCCCAGGCTGCCAGCGCAGGTCGCCTGCATGTGCATGTGCCTGGCTCCAGGGGGCGCCGTGGCTCCTGTAGCGCTGACCTTGGCCCGGGCTCCTACTGGGCCGCGTCCATGTCAGCGCAGAGGATGGGGCTCCCCAAGGCCAGTGGCATAGCGGGTGGCATCCTCGGGGCACGGGAATGGTCTCGGCACCTCGGGCCTCTGGCCTGGCCCTGTGGGTGCGTCCAAGTTGTCCAGCCTCCTGGCGCTGGGCAGTGGAAAAAGCGGGTTCAAGGCTCGCCCACTGCCATGAGGTTGTGCCAGCTGCCACAGGTGCGTTCGGGGGGACACGCCGTGCTCCAAGGGGCCAAGAGTTAATGCCCTGGGCCTGGGGGAGTCAGGGCCGAGCTCTCGACAGGCAAGGGGCTGGGGCGCTGCCAAGACCAGGCGTCACCCCCTCACACCCCAAGGGCGCGCTCCGGGGCCAGGACCCGCCTGGATCTGTCACGCGACTCCAGGGCTGGATGCGGGCATGTGGTGCGGAGGGTCCAACGCAGAGTCTGCGGAGGACACCGTGGGGGCGCGCGGTGTGGACCACCCGGGCAAGGGCCCAACGCCTCCTGCAGCCTCTTTCTGGGAGGAAGCGTGAAGGGGGAAGGGGGGGCTGTCCAAGGGCCTGAGCCGCAGTGCAGTGGGCAGGGCGTTTGCCTGGCTCGCGGCCAGCCCAGGGTAGATCCTGGGCACCCATATGGTCCCCCGAACACGCAGGGAGTGATTCTGAGCACAGATGGGTGTGCCCACCCTCCCCACCCCACCTCCACAGCGCACGCAGGTGCCTGGAGCCCTCCCCGGGTCCACAGGTCCCGCCCGGCCCGTGAACCCCGCCCCTCGCCCGCAGGCCTCGCCCCTGCACGGACCCCGCCCCTCGCCCGCAGGCCCCGTCCCTCCTCGAACCCCGCCCCAAACCAGACCCCTCGCCCACAAGTCCCGCCCCTGTCGTCCCACCGCCGCCCTACACACACCCCAGCAGCCGGGCTGCATCCCCACTGGGCGGGCTGGGGACCCACACGGGAGAGCCCGGTCGTGCAGGCGACCCCACACCTCCTGGGGCGCTGCTCCCTGGGCGAACCAAACGCTCCTTCGTGCGCAGTTTCCCTCATCTTTATTATGCTTTGAACTTAGCAACCGTCGCTTTTTGCCGTCGTGATCAAGAATTCATCATTTGGACCTGGGCAAGGGTTATATACATTCACATTAACGTCCTAGGGACTTCCCGCCTCTGTGGACCAGAACCTCCAGTAGCTGATCCTCCAGCATCGCACCGGGCCCGGGCCCCCCCTGAGTCCAGGTGACCGACCGCGGCCGGGTCTCTCTTCTTCGTCTTTCCGGAGTGGCCGCGCGTGGAGCGGGCCCAGGGCAAGGCGAGAATGGGGCTCTCCCTGGGAACGCGCCGAGGGGCAGGCGGCTGCAGGGCGCTGAACTCCTGTGGTTTGCCTTTTTCTGCAAAAGTGGGGCCGGCAGAGCTGCCAATGCGAGGGGCTGCGGCGGGCGGGGGCGTGGAGGAGGTAGAGGTGAAGCCGCGGGGCAGGAGGGGCAGGGCCCGGGCTGCCCCAGCGGGAAACTGTCCAAGATCCACCCAGGATGCCCCAGTTGTGTGCAGAGTACTGGCTGCTGTCTGGGAAGGACACACGAGCCCTTGCTTCATGAGTGGACGAAGGAAACGTTGTGTCAAGTCACTGAGGCAGGCCTGCTGCGTGCACACACACAGACGGGAGACCGTGCACACGCCACGCACACTCGGGACATGCACACGGGACACGCCAAGTGCCTTGGACACGCTCACAGGACACACACAACATACGCACTCAGGACACTCTCACAGGACACTCACATGTGCCACGCGCACTCGGAACATGCACAGGGGACACTCACACATGCCACGCTCACTGAAACTTGCACACAGGACACCCATGCCACGCACACTTGGGACTGCATTCATCAGGGACGTAGACGTGGAGGGCCCGGGGAGGGCAGGGGGCTTGGATAGGTAGCCGTGGTCTTCCAAGTGGGTTTGCTCTGGGGATTTCCCTGGGGGCAGAGGTGTGTTTGGTGTCCTTGGCTGGCTAGCTGGTAAGGTAGTTTACAGGTCTGCTTCCTTTGCTTTAAAAAAACAACAACAAACTTTTCTACTTAAAGCCAGAGTTCAACATTTGAGGGGGGAAATCTTGAAACAAAAAACGTTTCTTGAATTGGAAATGGAAGCTTTTTTTCACAGTCCTTCTGGCCCCGTGCACCTGGAGCACCTTTGGTGACACGTGGCTCAGAACTCCAACTATAAAATGTTTTTCTTTTGCCCATTTTAATTAGGGAGGAGAGCCACCTCCGCCCCGCCCCAGAGTAGCTCATCTGCCAACCCCGGCCCCACTTCTTCATGGAAGGTTCAGGCCACGGGACAGTTAGACCTGCACTGTGGCTGAAAGCACGGACCGGGAGGGCTGGCCGGGAGCAGAGGCTGGACAGCTGAGCGCGTTTCTGCCAGTTCTGGATTTCCGTAGGAGACACAGCAGCAGCAGCAGCAGCAGCAGCAGCGACTCGGACGTTGGGCCCCAGGGCCACTGTGTCCTCTGGGGGCCGGGCCGCGGGCGCACAGACTGGCCTGACCGTCAGTGGGGCGCAGCGTCCAGCGAGCTGGGCGAGCCGGGGCCAGCAGGCTCCGCGGAGCCGGCCTGGCGGGGGCTGGCGGCGGCGGCGGCGGCCTCGGGCGGGCCGGGCGCTGGCCCGGGCGCGGTGGCCGCGGGGCCCTGCACGCCCTGGCCGCACACGTGGTGGTGCCGCTCCCAGTCCCGGTGCTGGCAGAAGGCGCCGCAGTACCGCGCCGCGTTGCAGCCGCTGCAGGTCTCGCTGGCCCTGCGCCCGCAGTTCCAGCAGCTCTAGACGGGAGAGGAGCAGTCAGGGTGGAGCCCCGGGGTCCAGCCTGCCGCGGTCACGCCTCGGGCAGCCAGGGGTCGCGGAAAGCCCCGCACTCCGCGGCTGCGCCGCTCCGGCCCCCTCCCCCGCAAGGTGCCCGTTTGCCCCCGGGGCCGGGGCCGGTGGGAGTACTGCCCCGTCCCCGTCTGCGCGGACACCCGGGCTCCCCGGGTTCCCACCTCGCTGGAGTCCTCCTGCTGGCTGGCGGCGGCCAGCGCGTCCTCCGAGGCCTGCCTGCGCGCCGCGGCCAGCGCCCGCTCCATCCTGGCGCGCTCGGTGCTGATGAGCTCGTGCGCCTTGCGCTCGGCGTCCGACACGGCCTTCTGCAGCTCGGACATGGCCTGGCGCTTCACCGCGTTCACCGCCTCCTCTGCGGGGAAGCGGCGGTGGGCAGCTGCGCGCCGTGGGCCCCGCAGGGCAAGGACCCCGCCCGCGCAGCCCGCCCGCCCGCTCACCAGCCTTCCTCCAGATCTCCTCGGGCATGCAGCTGGGGAGTCCCCGCGGCAGCAGGTCCCGGGCGGCGTCTGAAAGGGCCGGGCCACCGTCACCCTCTGCCCCGCCACCTCCCTCCAGGTGGCAGGCGCTGCGGGGGTCCGGGTGGGCCTCGTCCTTGCCCCGCACCTGGCTGAGACCCCCCCACGCCCACGGAGCTGCCGAGGGGCCGGGTGGGGGGCGGGGGGCCCTTCTTGGGGTCCTCGGAGGCGTTGTAGCGCCGAACCCAGCGGTTGAGCTCCTCCCGGTCGGCTTCCTGGCAGCGGCGCAGGACGGTCAGCGACCGCCGCGTCTTCTCGGCCATGTCCATGATGCAGTTCAGGAGCTGGGGGTGGTGGGAGTGGGTGGGTGGGCACGGCCGGCGTGTGCTGCCCAGCGCAGGCGGACCCACCGCGCAAAGTGCCAGAGCCCAACTCAAGCTACCATCTGCTGCGATGCTCCGCAGAGCTGACCGGAAATGGCCAGGCAGGCTGGGGGAGGTGGGCCCAGAAACACCCCGCCCCGCCCTAGCTCGTCCAAGCCACGGGTTAGCCTCAGTGCCCTTCGCCCAGACTGGACACTCACGTTGTTGAGGTGCTTCCATTCCTCGGCCCACTCTCGCTCCGTGAGCCTGTGGTCAATCACCTCCTCTGGTCGCGCCCCATGCACCCCTGGAAGGGCAGGTGGACATTTCAGGCCCGGCCCGTATCCTCAGTCCCTGCCCTTCCCTCAAACCACGCCCACAGTTCAGGCCCGGCCCACTGCTAAGTCCCGCCCACTCGTCAAGCCACGCCCACTGATAGGCCCGCCCATACAACAAGCCACCCACTGCACCGGCCCCGCCCACATGCCAAGCCCCGCCCACTGCTAAGTCCCACCCACACATCAAGCCACGCCTGCTGCCAGGACCCGCCCATACAAGGCCACCCACCGTGCTGGCCACGCCCACAAAACAAGCCACGCCCATGTACCAGGCCCCGCCCATGCTTCTGACCAGACCAACACCCCAAACACCCCAGTCCCGTGCTCTCGCTCTGAGCTCCCCTTTGTCCCTGCGCCCCCAGCCGGACTGTGGCCGTGCCCACGCGGGAGGATGGAGGGTGACGAAGGATACCCGGCACCAGGCCTCTTGCCTAGTGCCCTGTAGTGTAAAACCAGCTGGAACCAGCTAGCCCTGGCCTGACCTCTGCCCTTTCCTGACCTTGGTCCAGCCAGGGTCCCCCTGCTCAGCCCCCACCAACCCCGAGGTCAGATGTCCCTGCACCGCCCCCACACCCTGGTGTGCTGCTCCTGGTTAGACTCGCTCAGGCCCCGGTGAGGGAGGGCAGTGTGGGCCCCACCCAGCCTGCACGGTTGGAGGGGGCTGCCTAACTCCTCCATGGCCGGAACCCTCTTCCCAAGGGATGGAGAAGGCAGGCGGGCATGGACCACTGGTGTCCATGCACGCGGGGAAGCTGAACTCAGACCCATGGGAGCCCTGGGGGACAGCACGGCAGTCCCCCGCTCAGCCCCGCCAAGCCACCACCCCACACCCCCGCCAAGCCACCACCCCACACTTGGACTGGACCCTGTACAGGTGCTCATGAGAGCTCACTGTCCCTCAGAGTCCAGGCCTCGGGCCTGCAAGTGTCCACTTGTCCCGGGGTCTTACTGCAGAGGGCTCACAGCTCCTCTCACACCTCCTCTCCCTCTCCCCTTCTCCCTCCAGGAAGACAGGCCCCACAGCCGAGAGCTGTGTGTCCAACTCCGTCCCACTCCGCTGGGCATCCTGGAGCCCTGGCCTGGCCGTCCCCAGGCTGTGGCTGGAAGGGCGGCTCCCCAGGCCCTGTATGCTCAGGGACCCTGGGGACCTTCTGGGCACCACTTCCGCAACCTGCCCCCTGGATGCTCCCTGAGTTGTGCTCCCACGGTGCTCCCGCAGGCAGGCTCTGTGCTCCCGCAGGCAGAGGCACTCACCCACATGCCGATAGTGCTCACGCAGCTCTCTGGGGTCCGGGTGGCCGTAGGGGTTGCGGAAGTGGTGGGCCATGGCCATGTCCTCCAGGCAGTAGTGGGGAGGGGGCGTGGGGTGTGGCCCGTCGCTGGGGCTGCAGCGCTGTGCAGGGCTCAGCGTGCAGGGCCGTTTGCTGAGCGGGTCGGGGTCTGGGGCGTCTCGGTCGCAGCCGTTCTCTTTGGTCCTAGTCCGAGAAGCAGTGAGGTCAGGGGCTGGCCCAGCTCGAGCCACGGACACGGGTCCAGGGAGTGGGTTAGGGTGCCAATGGAGGGAGGGGGCATGAGCCACAAGGCTCAGGCCCTCGGTAGGCCCCCACCTGAGGCTCAGCAAGCTGCCTCTGCCCAGTGTGGGCTCCTGGGGCCTGGAGGCCTTTTGCTGAGGGCCACAAAGGGTGCCCAGCTTCCACGGGCCAACTGGGCCTTGCATGCAGCTGGACAGGCACCTCAGCCAGGCACTAGCCAGCTGCTGCTCTGAGCCATGGCCCCACGGAAGGACGGTGACACTGTGGGACCTCTGGCCCTGCTCCCACCCTGGTCGGCCCAAACCTGGCCAGCAGGGGTCCTGTGTGGGCAGTTGCCTCTGCAGCCTGTGGGCCTGGCAAGGGCTGGGACCGGAACACCTTCCTAGGGACGGCAGCCAGAGAGATGGTGCAATGGGCAGGGGTCTTGCCTTGTGTGCGACTGACCCAGGTTCCGTTCCCAAGCACCGCCAGGAGTGATTCCTGAGCACAGAGTCAGGAGTGAGTGACCCCTGAGCATTGCTGGGTATGACCCAAAAAGCAAAAAAAAAAAAAACCAAACAAACAAAAAAACAAAACAAAGAAATGAAAAGCAAGACCTTCCTGGGGAATTGCAGGCTGAGTACTTGCAGGGCAGGAGGGGTTCTGGGGTACGGTGGGGCTCTGGGCCATGACAGGATTTTGAGAGATAATGAGGTTCTCGGGGCACAGGGGCCTGGCAGGTAAGGCAGGTTCCTGGGGTGCCATGAGGATCTGGGCCTATTCCTGGGTACGGCAGATTCTCGGGGAGCGGCGGCGTGGGGGAGCAGGCACACCTGTCTGGCGTCCTGCGCTTGCCATTCTCATGGGCGTCCAGCAGGAGGTCAGAGTCGGGCGGGGAGGAGGCCGCGTCGGCGTCCAACAGCAGGTGGTCGTGCTGGGCCAGGTACTGGGCGGGCGTCTGCTTGGCCAGGCGGGCACAGTGGGCCAGCTCGTGCTGCAGCTCGGGGAGACTGGCCTGCGGGGAAGGGGCTGCTCTGGGCATGCCACGCACCCCAGGAATGGCCGGTGATGCCCTTGTGTCGCCCACTGCCCACTGCCACTCAGGCCGCTGGCCGGTCTGCCTGGCCCTGCAGCTGCGTGGGAGGGTCACAGCTGCTGGGCTGCAGGCAGGGGCCTCCAAAGCCACCACAGGTGCGTACGCCCCTGCCTGCCCACGGCCAGTGCATTTCTGGGTTGCCCGCACGGGGCCTGCCATTGTTTGGGGAACTGAGCACGGGCCAGCCACCATCTGTGGGGCGCAGGAGGGGCAGGAACCGTGAGCGAAAGTCCCTCTCGCCTTCCACTGGCCACCGCACGGGGCGGCAGGCACCGCAGTGGAGGGCGTGAGACACCTGGAGTCCTGGCCAGCTGGGAGCACCCCCGGGTTCTGGAGAGGGCCCAGCCCGCAGAGGGAGCGAGACCCGGGGCGCCTTGTGGTGGGGACACCCGCCCACAGAGTGGGCAGAGACCCAAGGCTGGGCTTACCCTCCTGTCTGGCTGGTGGGGCTGGCCGCGAGAGCCCTGGGCCCCAACACCGTGCCAGCTGCAGGGGAGCCCAGGGCACTGGCCCCTACAGGAGTCGGGGGCCTGCCGGGGCCCACTGAAGGGGTGATGTCCACGTCCCCCGTGTCCTGTGTCCAACACAGCCGGGACTCGCAGTTTTGCTTCTCTGCCCTCTGACCCCTGCCCCGTCTCCCTGGGCAGACTGCCCCGAGGCGGCCCTCCTGGCTGCTGTAGGCCCCAGACCCTGCCGCCCGGGCGCAGTGGCCGCTGCTCCAGACCGGAGGCTCCGGCCTCGGGGCTGAGGCTTGCCAGTGGCCTGGAGTCGGCAGGGCCCTGCCCTGGCTGGCCGGCCGCTGGCGGGTCCGGGGGCACGGGAGCTGCTCACCTTCAGGAAGGGGATGACGAACGGGCGCAGGGGGAAGTTGGTGGCCTCCTGCAGCCGGGAGTGGAAGTCCTCGATGGTCAGCGTGGAGTTCTGGGGGGGCACGCGGTCAGGCCAAGGCGCTGCCTGCCAGCCCCCCACGCCCCCGCCCGCCCGCCCGCCCCCACTCACCACGAGCCCCAGCACCAGGGACCGCACGCGCGCCCCGATCTCGGGGGAGATGTCGCGGCCGAACTGCTGCAGCGTGGTGAGGAAGCGCTTGAGCTTGCCCAGCTGCCGGGCGCCGCAGGCGGGGGGCAGGTGCTGTGGGCACAGCATGGCGGTGGACGAGGCGGCCGGCCTGCTGCTGACCCCATTGGGCGTGGCTGGGGCCCCACTCAGGACTGTGGGCGAGTGGCCACCGTTCATCACTGCAGAGAGACGGTGGGCGGGCGTGAGAGCCACACGACCCCCAGGACACTGCGCTGACCGTCCCTGCCCAGAGGGGCAGGTCCGCCCTCCCGGACCCGGCTCTGCTCTGTGCAGTGAGGCCAGGCCCGCCACACTGTGGGCCGCAGGGTCCCCCAAAGGCCAGGAAGCCCCTCCCCAGGAGTCCAGAGAAGTGTCCAGAGGCACTGCCCACGGAGGACGGGGCCCGGGAGCCCGTGCTGTCTGTGGATCGCTGAGGCCCAGGAGAAGAGCTGGTCAGGACCCCGCGCCACCTCCCTGCCCCCAGTGCCCCTGCCCTGACTCCCACCTCAGGACTGATCTGGGACTGCAGCACCCTGGGGTCACCCCAGGCTCAGACAGCCCCACACCCCTGTGGTCAGTGAACAGCCTTAAAGCCCGGCTCTTCCCAGCTGCAGACGCTCCTGGGCCTGGGGAGGTAGGAGGGACAGTGGGGTACAGCCCCAGCCCCTCAGCCTGGCAGCACCAGCAAGTGGCCACGGAACCCTATAGGCCTGAGCTCCTCCTGCCAGCAACACTGACTACCCGACCCCTGCAGAGACAGCCAGGGGCCCTCCAGAGGCCGGCATGGTCAGGGCTGGCTCTGGATCCCCTGGGTCCCTCTCGCCCCGTCTGGGCGGTGAGCAGCTGCTGCTGAGTGACCGGGCGCAGTGGCCAGACAACCTCAGTGACCGGCTTGACGCTTGTGGCCATGGTGGGCACCTGCCCCTGGCATACAGCCCCTCTGTGTTCTGGGAGCAGGACCCACACAGAGGCGCTGGGCTGAACAGAGCCAGCTCCTGGGCCCAGCACGCCACTGTCCACATGTGGCCTGGGCACAGGGCATCGGGCGTGAGAGTCCACTGAGGGCAGCAGCTGTCCGGGAGGGAGGGACCCAGGGTGGGCACACGATGTTCACGGGCAGGCCCAGCCACGGTCCTTCTGAGGACACAGACCCACAGGCGCCGGCCCCTCAGTTCTGAGCCCCTGAACTTGCAGGCCCACAGTGGCCCGTCTGGGAACCCCCACTGTGGACCCCCACGCAGCCTGTCCTGCTCTGGGACCCCACGCAGTCCCCCACCCTGGGACCCCCACTCAGCCCATCCTGCTCTGGGACCCCCACACAGCCCCTCCTGCTCTGGGACACCCAAGCAGTCCTTCCTGCTCTGGGATCCCCACTCAGCCCTCCACCCCACCCTGGGACTCCCACGCAGCCCCTCCTGCTCTGGGACCCCCACGCAGTCTTTCCTGCTCTGGGACCCCCACGCAGGCCCCCACCCTGGGACCTCCACGCAGCCCGTCCTGCTCTGGGACCCCACGCAGCCCCCCACCCTGGGACCCCCACGTAGCATATCCTGCTCTGGGACCCCCACACAGCCCCCCACCCTGGGACCCCCACGCAGTCCCCCACCCTGGGACCCTCACTCAGCCCCTCCGGCTCTGGGACCCCCATGCAGTCCTTCCTGCTCTGGGACCCCACGCAGCCCCCCACCCTGGGACCCCCACACAGCCCATCTTGCTCTGGGACCCCCACTCAGCCCATCCTGCTCTGGGACCCCCATGCAGCCGCCACCCTGGGACCCCCACAGCACCCAATGCTGAGGGTCTGTCTGCACGGGAGCCCCGACCCTTGCCCCCCAGTGTCCGGAGGCCCCATGCCTGCACCCAGGCACACAGATCAGGGCATGTGTCCCCCATGTGCAGGGCTCGTGGGCGCAGGGGTCTGACCGTGGCCACATCTCCGCTTGTGCCCCTGGCCTGAGCACCCCAGGGAGCCCTTACCCGCCGCTCGGTCCACCCGTGCAGCCTCGGCGCTTGTCACAGAGACTCCGAAAATAGCCCTGGCCACAGGGCCTTCGCGCCCAGAACAGGTGTGTTACTAAGTTAGACCACACACGTGTCCCGCCGAGGCAGGGGACACGCCAGCCCTGGGGCTGGGCCGAGGGACCCAGCCGCCCCCCCCCCCCCCAGCCCTGACCAAGCAGCCAGAGCATGGGTGGGGAAACTGAGGCCACGGGGGGCTGTACTCACAGAGGCAGACCATGGACCACTTCAGGCAGCCGTGCAGACGGCCGGGCGGCAGTGGCAAGGCGGGCCCGTCATCGGGATCTGCAGGACAGAGGGAGAGGGGTCAGCAGGAGCGAGGGGCCCAGCCCCCGGCCCCGGCTCTGCTGAGCAGGGGCCAGAACACAGGGTTTCAAGGGCCTCGGGCCAAGGCCTCTTTCCAGCAGGGTGTGGGGCCACTGCTGCCCACCCAGGGCTGGACGCTGAAGGACAGCTCTGGAAGGACGTGCAGGACGGGACTGCCCGGTGAGAACAGTCTGGGGAGCCCCTGGTTGCCCCCACACCGTGCCCCCCCATGAACTCGGGCTGCAGCCCAGGGCCAGTGCCCGGTCAGCCTGTCCCAGGGAAGCCTCCCAGAGGGACACCCAGGAGGGCAGTGGGACGCAGGGACCCAGACGGGAGCCTCACATCTGCCCTCGGTGCCTCCACGGAGGGTCGGTGCCGGGAACCCAGCCCCCTGCGCCCGGCTCTGAGACCTGGAACCAGCCACTGTACTCACTGGGTTGAGGTGTGGAGGGCGCCTGTCTTATGGCCCCGTGGGTCGAAGAGGGTGTGGCCCGGGGCTGCGTCCTCAGCTCGGCGGGTGAGTCTGGCATGGCTGCAGCCTCGTCCGGTCAGGCTGCAGGGATGCAGGCAGGAGTGAGGTGGGCCAAGCATGCCCACGTCCACGTGCCGCGGCCGTGTGCTCAGGTGGTGGCCAGGACACAGGCCTTCCTCCCCCCGGCTCCCAGCAGCCCCAGAACCGAGTGTGTCCCAAGTCCAGGAAGGAGACCGGGCCACCAGGGCACAGGGCAGGCCGCGTGTGGGTGTCCCAGGGAGGGCACGGCACCAGCCGTGGGGCGTGGCCAGTGCCACCCTCCTGCCGAGCAAGTCCCAGGCCAGCCCAGGTACGGTCACTCTTGGGCCGAGGCAGGCCCCCACCTGCCCCCAGACATGGCTCTGAGACCCCGGCTGGCTGACCAGCAGGACCCCGTCCTGGGCGGGCCCGACGGCTCCGTCCCAACGCAGCGGCCAGGCCCCTGTCTTCAGCGTGAGGATCGATGGCCCCCCAAGCCTTCAGCACTGGGATTTGGGGGGCTCGGCTGCCAAGGTGGGTGGGGTCTCTGCCCCGTGAGCTACCAGCAGACCCCACTGCCCTGAGTGGGCTGCCCCACAGGCGGGAGGGGGTGGGGACCCGGGGCCGGGCTCTGCAGACACCTGCTGTCCCCCAGCTGCAAGCGCCACCCCCCCCCCCCGTCCCCTGGCACTCGCCGCCTGTCAGGGTGATGGCTGGGCACACGTGTGCCGCAGCTGTGCCTGGGACACGCGGGAGCTCAGGCCCCGGGGCCCCGCCAGCCCTTCATGGGACAGGGCTGGGGCAGGGGCCCGCCCCAGGGGTGCCAGCCAGCGGGCAGGGGTCAGGGGCTCGGGGACATGCCCTCCGCCTTGCTGCCCCTGGGGGCCCGGGAGAGCTGACCTGGGCAGCAGCTGCCTGGGCCCGGCCATGTCTCCAAGACCAGCAAGCATCACAGGCGGAGGGGCAGGGGCCGCAGCAGAGGGGCCCCTCGGACTGCACCGGCTTGTCTGTGAGGGCTGGGGGTGGGGCAGGCCCTGGGGAGGGGCCACCCCCGAGTCCTCGTGTGTCTCTGCAGCCCTGGGAGCAGGGGCCAGGCAGGCCCGTCTCCCATGTTGGCCACCTGCCCTGCCCGGCCCCTCCCATCCCCCACCCCTGCTGCCCACTGCCCCCGGGCGCCAGGTGTCCCAGACTGACCCAGGCCCCCGACAGAGGAAGCTGCCAGCCCAGCTAGAGCCGGGGAGAGCGTGGAGGGTCCGGCCCACCCACCCCTGTCCACAGTGCAGCTGCCCTCCAGAACACTCTGCAGGGCTGCTACTCGCAGCCTGGGCTCGTCCTCCTGCCCTCTCTGCTGCCCCCGTGACCCCACGGCCGGGGAGGGGCCAGGAGATGCATGTGAGCACGCCCCGCTCTGGGCACTGGGCAGTGTGGTCTCAGACCCCAGCGGCGCCCCTGTCTCCGCCCCCTGGCGCCGTCCCATCGCGATTCTCTCACTGTTGAAGTGTCCCCACGGGCATCAGCCCTGAGCTCTGCGGGGAAGCTCCCAGCAAGACCGTGGGCTGCGAGCTGGCCTCGTGTGGGGTCAGACACCACGCGGCCGAGGAGGCGTGTGTGCACGGCTGCCGTGTAGCCGGGCCTGAGGCTGCTACGTGCGTGCATGCAAGTGTGTATGTGTGTGTGTGTGCTGATGCACATGTATGTGTACTGCCACTCTTGTGCTTGTGTTACACATTGTGCATACATGCGTGTGCGCACACGTGTGTGCATATGCTGTAAGTGCGTGTGTATGCGTGATTGTGTGTGGTTCACTGTGCACGTGTGTGCATGCTTTGCCAAGTGCCTCTTTCGCCCTCCTGCGCTAGCACAAGGTCCAGGGGCCAAGGTGTTTGCAGACAAGTGTCCAGGGCTCGGAGGGCTGGAGCGATGCCAGCTTGTCCCCCACGGACACCAGAGACGCCCTGTCGCTGACCCCGACTCCCATGAGGCAGCTCCCGCATCCTCTGCCCCTGGGGGCACTGCTGGGGGCACCGTCACCCCAGGACACACGTCTGAAGGCAGCTGGGGTGGGGGCGGCCAGGGGTACTCAGCTGCTGCCGCACGCCGAGCCCACGCCCAGACGTGCCCCTCAGGGCACCCTCTGCCGTGGGTCCCCGAGGGAACGCTCCCCTCGGGTGCAGGGGGCCCCTCACGCTGGGGGCCGCCAGTCGGGCACAGGGGGTGGGCTCCCCGCAGACCCTGCACTCAGCCCTCGGGTTCAGGAGGGTTCCAGAGGCTGCGTGCCACTGTTTATGTAAACAGGTAAATTGTTCCCTGCCTCAATTACAAACATCTGCCACATGAACGAATGCCAATTAGCTCATCCTGCTTTTAATTACTTCGTTAATCACACCCAGCAGCCGGGAGGGGCCAGGCAAGGGCCTCAGCCCTCCCCCGCTGGCAAGGGCCCGGACCCACTGCTTCCGGGTGTGAGGTAGGTGGTGGCATGGTGCCAGCTGGGGTTCCCTGGCAGGCGCGTCCCTCCCTTATTCCCCATCACCAAACGGCTACCCCGGCCCCAGCTGCTCCTGGACGAGGAAGGTCTTCAGGGTGGAGGTGGTAAAGCCCCTAACTGGTGAGCTGAGCCCCCAGCCCCACCCCAGCCTCCTCTCCTCCCACAGCCCCACTCCCCACCGCCCCTCCCCCCTTGTGGTCCCCGCAATCCCAGCACGTTCCCCGCCCCCGTCCCACCCACAGCACAGCCCACGGGCAGGCCAGGTGGGCATCGGGCTGCTCCCAGCAAGTCTGAGCCCTGAGGCACAGCTGGTCAGGGTGCGAGCGTGCACAGGCGGGAGGGGCACAGCCCTGGATGCTAGCAGGCCCCGATCCGGGCTGGCCCCTGGGGCGGCGTGAGGCGTCCCCTGGACAGGCTGCCGCCCCTGCCAGGCTGTGTCCTGCGCCCGGTGCCTCTGGAGTCCCCCAGCCAGGGACTGCCACTGCGCTGCCTGTGACCAGCCAGTGTCCTGGCGGGCCGTGTGCAGCTCTCTGAGGGGCAGGAAAGACACAGGTTGGGAGGTGCCACTGGCCAGGTGCAGAGAAGCGTAGGCAGGTGGGCCGGGCCATGTGGGGGAGGACGCCTCTGTGCACAGGAGCTGGTAGGGGACAGCAGGTACAGGGCACCTGAGCCGCCAGGGAGCAAGAGGGGGAGTGGCGGGGTGGGGGGTTTGGGTCCCCCCAGGTGAGGGGTGGGGGCCGCCCCACATGAGTGAGTTGCAGGTGGTACTGATGTCCCCCAGAGCTTCGTGGCCCCACCGCGTGCTTCTCTGGACCCAGAGTCGCTTCGCTCAGGACCGAGAGCACCGCAGGGGGAGCACCGAGGCAGAGAGCTGCTGAGCAGCGCGGCTCGCTGGGCAAGCCCAGGCCGCGGTGTCACACCCGCACCTCCAGCTCCCGCACCCCGGTCCCGCCTGCAGCCTCGCAGGCCCTGGGGTCGCAGGCCTCCTTGGGCGGGGGCCAGGCTGTGGAGCTGTGCCCCCCGCCCCCACCCAGCCCAGCCGTCTCCGTCCTCGGCCCTGGTGCATCAGCGGCTGTGGAACACTGTCCCCGCTTGGGGCCACTCACCCAGGTGTCCCCCGGTCCACAGCTGGGCCACAGGGCTCGGGGCCTGGGTGTCAGGAGGGTCTCTCGCCCCCGCAGCCCCTGTCTGTGTCCCTGTTGGTGTGCCCTCATGGTCCCCAACGCCCCCACCTGTCCGTCGCTGGGCTGGGCTGGGCCTGGGCTCCCCAGCCCGTCCCTCCCAGGGAGGAACAGACCCTGCCCCTGTCTAGTGTCCCTTGTCCCTGAGCAGCTGCCCGAGGCCCATGGGTAGGGCAGGAACGGGTGCTCACGGGTGCATCCAGGGCGCCACCGCGGCTCACCGTGGGCAAGGCTGCTGTCCACTTGGTCACATGTGGCGCCCTGGCTCCCGCCTGTCCTGGAACATCGCCCAAACCCAGGACCCCACCCGCTGCCCCTGGGGAGTGGGGACCCAAGGAGCTTCACAGAAACATCCGGAACATGATCAGACGGCGAAGCAGTGGGGGAGGGGCGGACGTGAGGGAGAGGAGTGTCCAGAGCAGCCCCTGGGTGGCCGGCCACAGCAGCTCTGCTGGACAGTCCAGAGATGGACAGTGACGAGGCTGCAGGGCTGCGACTGGGGGGCGGAAAGTTCTGGAACAGACGGCGGCAGTGGGCACACACGTGACCTGCACCAAGGGTGAGCAAGACAAGGCGGCAGGCCCCATTCCACGAGGGTCTGGAGGCCCAAGGGCCACGTGGGCACCAACCTCAGGGAATGACAGCGGACACCCTGAGGGAGAGTGCATGGAGAGGGCCTTGCACGCAGCCCACCCAGGCTCCACCCCCACATCCTATAGGGTCCTTTGAGCACCCGCCAGGAGTGGCCCCCGCACATCCCTGCTGTGACCCCAAAAGTCAACAAAACAAACCCAAAAACAACTGTCGGCGAAGCCAGACAGTTGCGGAATCTCAGCCCTAGGGGCCACTGAGCCTGGGGCACCCACGGCGAGGAGAGCAAGGGTGGACAGAGGGCCCCAGCAGGAGGGACACGGGGTCCCAGACGGGAGCCACAGAGGGGGAATGGCATCTGGGCATCCATGGAGAGTGTGGCCACGCGTGTCCTGCAGGGTCTGGGCTGCGTCCTGCCCTGCCAGCCGGTGGTGGGCACGGGGACAGTGACAGGCCTGCCGACTTCACACATGCTGGGCTCAGAGGGGAGTGGGAGGGGCGCTGCCCACAGTCCAATTCCCTGTGACTGTCCACAGGTCCCTGCTAGCCACAGCACATGGACGTTCTGCTGGTTCTGAGAACTGGCCAGAGGCCACAGGACGGCCCCAGCCATGGCTCCACTGGGCCTGTCCGTCCCCGCTGCCCGCTGCTGGACGTGCCTGGGCCCCAGCACTGTCCTGCGTCTCTCGTCCTCCTCAGGGACGAGCCAGTGGCCTGAGAAACTGTCAGCTCACGGCGCAGTGTCCGCTGGCCTGGCTGAGCAGCAGGACGCCTCCACGCCCATTCTGCCAGATGCTCCTCCGGGGGATCCCCAGGGCAGGCTCAGGGTACCTCTGGAGACCCTCTCACACGCCCCTTCCCCTACCTGCCAGGCTTCCCTGCCCAAGCATGGGGGGTGTTTGGAGCCACCGCCGCTGAGCCAGAGATGAGCACTGGCGGTGGGCTGGGCCATCCCTCGGGCCAAGCGCGGCTGTTTTCCCTTCAACTCCAGAAGCACAAAAGGCCCAATCACTGCTCTGTAGCTGCAGATGGGGCAGAGGCAAACACACACAGAAGCACACGCACACACACGCACACGCACACACACACACACACACGCACACATATGCACACATATGCCACTGACCCCCGCCTGCTCCCCCGCCTGCACCAGACCCCGCGGCCAGTGTGCTTCCTGACTGAGGCACAGCCCAGAGGGGCTTGTCCCGTCCATCCTGGGCTTGTCCCACACTGCCCACTGCTACTCCGGGGGGGCAGGGGTGGGAGGGGGAGTCCCAGCACGAGCTCCGTGGGAGTTGGGGTCCCAACACGGAAACCCGGGGAGCAGGACCCGGCAGGCTGCCTCAGGGGGTCCCTCTGTGCTGCCCCCCCAGGTCTGCATGGGCCTCCAGGACAGTGCTGGGCCTTGTCCCCCTCTGGACACTCAGCCTTGGGGTCCCCACAGGAGACAGTAAGGGACACGTGCAGAGGACAGGTGCTGAGGCCGGGGACTGCACGAGGACAGACTGACCCAGCTGTGCCCCAGCCTGGCCTCCAGAGGCCCATATCTGAGCAGCATGGCCCCAGGTGGTCGAGGACATGGCTCCCTCAGAAAAGTCCCTTGGTCCCCACAGAGCCAGGTGAGGTGGGTGGGGTCTGCGGGCTCCCAGGGTCGGTGTGGTGGTGGTGTGGGCGGCAGGGGCCTGGCTGGCCCAGCAGCACACGTGGGGAGGTCAGTCTCTGTGGGGACCAAAGGGTCAGGCCAGTGTGAGGGCAGGTGAGCACTGGGGACCAAGTCTGGCAGCTCTCCATGCCCAGGGTGTGGCTCTGAGTACATGCACACACACGTGCACTTGGCTGCACACAGGGACACACATGAACACACACAGTGGGCACACAAACACAATACACATGCACACATGTAGGGACTGTGCAGACATGGACACATGCACACACACGTGGACACATGCAGACATGAACATGGGCACACGGCACACATGTGTGGATGTCAGACATATGCACACACAGACACATTCACATGAAAACAGTCATACACACATATGGGCACATACACACATGTGGACATCACACATGCAGATGTGGACACAAGCGCAGATGTACACACATGTATGAACACACACGCACTCACGTGTGGAGCATGCACATACAGGCACATACATGCACATATGCATGGACACACATGCACACAGACAAGGCACACATATGCACACACGTGGACACACACGCATGGATGTATGCACACACAGACATAGGTATACACATGCACACATGTGTGGACGCTTACACACACAGTCACTTCTTCCCCTGACTGCAGTGAGAATTCGAATTGATTGAACAGGACAGGTGCCCCGCTCTGCCCCGGGGGTCTGCTCAAAGGATCCTGGAGAGGGGACACCGGGAGAGCCCCAGGACACGTGGCCCCCTGCTGGATACATCTCTCCTCGATCAGTGCCCATGGTGGCACATTCCTCGTGGAGGAAGGGAAATTAATTTCTTCCAGTCAGGCAGAAAGGAAAGTACGTGAACCAAATCAGAGCGGGTGGGGACTAGGTTATGCGGGTAACCGGGGGACAGGGAAGGGGTCCTGACCACAGGTCAGTGGGTGGCCGGAGGCAGCCCAAGGCATCCGTCCCTGGCCCCCAGGCCACCAGCCCTGCTCAGCCCGAGTGGCACAGAAGCCAGGCTGGGGGCAGTGCCAGGGTCCACCAGGACCCTCGCAGTGCAGCTCCTGTCCCACGGCCCAGCCACGCTTTCTTGCGACGGCAGATAGGAGCGGTCACCACCCCCCTGCCCGCGGAGCGCAGGCTGGGGGCACGGTGCCAGCCCTCCCAGCGTGCCCAGGCTCCGGGCAGCCTGCCCGCCCACAGGTGAGGACCAGCCCAGTCTCCCCGAGTCCGAGCGTGGGAACTTCCTCCAGCCCCGCAACAACTTGTGAGCTCAGCCAGGCCCCACACCGGACGCATCCTTTGTCCCCAGCCAACCCCGTCCGCGGGGTGGACGCTCTGGTGTGCAGGAAGCCCACACCCAGTGGGGCATCATGAGGCGCGTCCTGGCCGCGCGGTCGGCGGCCACCCAGACCCGGGCCAGCGGCCACGGCCGGGAGGCGGGACCGGCAGAGTCCAGCCCACGCCCGGCCTCACCGCGGCCGCGCAGACGGGGCTCCCCGGCCCCCCGCGGCACCTGCCCGGCGGCGGCCAGAGCGGCAGGACCCCCGGGTGGGGCCCGGGCCCTCCCGCCGCTGTTCACCCCGGCCGCCCCGCCCGGGGCTCCTGCAGGACTTCGCCCGAGCCCCCGGCGGCGGGAAGAGGGGCGGGGGGAGCCGCTGGACCCGCCCCCGCCCCCCGCGGCCCCTGGGGGGCCTCAGTCCGGCGAGTCCGGCGAGTCCGGCCCGGCCACCCGCGCGGGTCCCGCGCGCCGCAACTTCGCGGGCGGGGGCGGCACTTACGCTCCGGCGGCGGCTCCGTCCGTCCCGGCGGGAACAAAGCGCGCGGGGCCGCCGTCGCCCGCGCCCGCCGCCCGCCGCCTCCGCGTCGGCTCGGCCCGCCCGGCCCGCCCGGCCCGCCCGGCCCGGCCCGGCCCGGCCCGGCCCGGCCCGCGCGCCGCCACCTGCGCCCCGCGCGGCCTCGCTCCGCCCCGGGCGCGGGCAGGGGAGCGGCGCGGCGGGCGCGGGGCTGCGCGCGGCCGGCAGGGGGCGCCGGCGGCCGGCCGGACACCTGCGGGGGCCGGGAGGTCCCTCGCCCGGGACACCTGGGGGCACCAACTTGTCCCCGTGCCCAGACACCTGGGGGCGGCCCGCGCCCGGACACCTGGGGCCAGTCCGAGCCCCGACACCTGGGGCCGGCCCGCGGCCCGACACCTGGGGGCCTGGGGCCACCGGCAGCGTCCCCGTGCTGCCGGGAGCGTGTCCCCTTGGCTGGTCTGGACCCCTCCAGCCCCAGCCGGCCAGGGACACGGGGCGTTTGGGGTGGACTCGGGCCTCCCTGCCCTCCTAGGTCCACCCCAGGGCACTGGCAGGGTCAGGGGCAGCTGCACCCTTTCTCAGGCTGCAGGGGCCTGGCAGCAGCCCCTCCCCAGCCGACCTACAGAGCTGTGACCAGCGTGGCAGGCCTGGGGATCCGGCGGTGGCATAAAGAGCCCTGCCTGAGTGCCGTCCCCTTGGCATGGTCTGGGAGCCCAGCAGTGAGCCCACCCCCACACTCCTCCCAGCACTCAGGGAGGCCCTGTCCCACCTGCTCAGACCCCAGGTTTTGGGGGTTGGGGGTTGGGGTGAGGCCCAGGCCTGGCTGGGACTCAGAGCAGGAAGCTAGTTTCCAGGGCCACATGTGATACATTCAGGAAGCTACAGTTTCCAGAGCCAGTGTGATACATTTGCATGAGAATGGTTCTAAAGCCACAGGCCACCAATGCCACCAGCCATCTGGACACAGAGTCCACCCAAGCATGCTGAGCCAAGACTCAGAAGGCCTGGAAGCTTCAGGCCAGACAGTTCATTGGCGGGTGGGGTCAAGAGCGAGGGCACAGAGTCAGGACAGCCCAGCGAGGGGTCCCAGAGCCCAGAGGGGAAAGGCGCCCCCTGAGGAGAATGAGCCAAGGACAGAGCAGAGAAAGAACAGGGCCCCAGCAAGAGGACACTCAGGTCAGCTACCAAGCACTCAGCGGACACGGCCCCAGCACAGACCCCCAGATACGGGGCCTGGGGGGTCCCGGCCCTCTCGTGGGCCCCCAGGTATGCGTACTCGGTGGCCCACACCTGGAGACAGAGACAGACCCTGAGTCTGTCGCGAGGGGCCCACGTGTGCCCCAGCAGAAGCCTGCCAGGCAGGGTGGGTGAAGGCTCCTGCTGACGTCAGCCCTCCCCCCAAGCGCTCCATGCAAGTGAGCACCTCAGGGTGTCTGCGGGGCGTGAGGCTGGCCAGCCCCTGCCACACGCACCGCTTGCCTCTCACCCCTGACCTCTCACCTCTCACCTCTCAGGGGAGCACCTTCTCCAGATCCAGCGTCAGCTCTCGCTCGTCCTCATCAGGACGTGGCTGTGCCGTGTGATGGGCATGTCGTTGGACACGCGTGGCCGAAGCCGAGGCTGTGGGCCTCCCGTGGACACGACTTCATGACCCCACCACTGGCGGACTCCGGGGGCTCTCGGGAGCTGGTCCCGGTCTCGTTCCTGCCACAGTCAGAGGCAGAGCACGGTGGCCCAGCCATGCCTGCAGCCGTCACGCTGTGTTTGCTGGGGGAGTCCCAGGGGGAACCGCTTGCCGGACTGTCTGGGTCCAGGCATGGGGCCTGCGGGATCCAGCATGGACGCAGGGGCTCCTTGCTGCCCCCACCGACCTCCAAAGGCTGTGGGAGCTGCCCAGAGCTACGCTGGGCCCTTGGTTCTAAAATCAAGTTTTCGGGGGCTGGAGCAATAGCACAAAAGGTAGGGCATTTGCCTTGCATGCGGCAGACCAGGGTTCGATTCCCAGCATCCCATATGGTCCCCTGAGCACTGCCAGGGGTAATTCCTGAGTGCAGAACCAGGAGTAACCCCTGTGCATCGCCAGGTGTGACCCAAAAAGAAAAAAAAAGAAAAAAATCATAAAATCAAGTTTTCCCCCATCCTGCGCTTTTAGCCTTAGGCTCGCGGCAGCCTCAGGGGATTTGCAGGCCAGGGCCAGCACCCTGGGATGCATGGTGCCTGGCTGGTTATCCTGCGGTGCCCTGGAGGGCAGTTCCATGGCGCAGTGGAGGGGTCACGGCGCCCTGACTGCACAGCTGCCCCAAGACCTGGGTTCCCCACGAAGGGCAGCTGGGGGCCCCCACCCTAGCCCTGGGCGCAGCCCCCACACAGCCTGTGGGATGACCTGAAATAGCCTGGAGAAGCCGAGAGCGCAGCAGAAGTTGGGGCTCTGCGGCCCGGGAATGGGGAAGCTGGTGAAGGAAGGAGAAGTGAGGCCCAGGTGTGCCGGGACCCACGGGCCGGCCCTCACCCGCACACTCCCAGGAGTCCAGCTGGCAGAGGTGAAGTTGTGTGGGCAGCGGGAGCGCGGGCAGGCGGCCCCTGGCTGGCCCCTGGGAGCTGCCAGCGCCCACTGGGGCCCTCAGACCCCTCCTCTCGCCCTGGAGCTCTCTGCTCCGCTCCAGAAGCAGGAAGCATCCCTGACCACCTCTCGCTGCTGCCCCCGGGAAGCTCGGGCAGACTCTGCCCTGGGGCTCACAGGCCAGGCCAGGACATAGTCCTTACAGAAGCCCCTCCCTTGCCCCCCACGACATGGAAAGGGTACGCCCCTCTCCAGGACCATGGGGCTCAGAAACCCTCACGTCCCCCGAGTCACTGGGGCTAGGCTCAGCCCCTCGGGCATGTGGACCCAAGGGGACCCACAGCTGCAGGGCTCAAAGCAGCCACCTGAACCCCAGATTCTCCCAGAGCCAGGAACAGGCCCACACAACCACCTGGGGCGGGGATCCCCAAGGATAACCATTTTGGGGGGCCTCCTGGCGATTCCCAGCCCACTGATGGGGCCCCATATTCGGGGTCCTGGATGTGATGTGGGGACGGAGCCCAGAACTACTGCCCAGACGGCAGTTGTCCACTGCACGAGAGGTGGGCACAGAGGCCTCTCTGGGCACCCTGACACTCACTCCTGGCAGGAGGCCGAGGCCGGCCAGAGACCCAGGCTAGCTCCCAGCTGTGGCCTCAGAGCCATCCAGCCCAGCTGTGGCTCAGCCGAGAGGGGAAGCCGCAGAGGTGTCACCTGCTTGGGGACACGGCAATGGCGTTTGTGCCCTTGGCCTCACACTCTCTCACCATTGGTGTCCTACGTCAGGGCTTGGGCTGGACTGGCAGCCGTGGCTGGGGTGACCACCCACCCTCGTCCCCCAGGTGGGACCCACATGCCCATTTCCCAGGGAGGAGCAGAGGCCCTGGGCAGGCTGGCAGGGAGGCGGGAGGGGGGGAGAGGGGGGCTGGGCACTGCCCTTGCTGCCCTCACAGGCGTCAGGAAACACCTGGCAGTTTCGGTTCGACAGGAAGCGGCTGCTCCCAGCCCCCAGCTGCGCCCTTCTGCCAGACAGCGGTGTGTGTGTGTGTGTGTGTGTGTGTGTGTGTGTGTGTGCGTGTGCATGTGTGTGCGTGTGTGCATGTCCACATGTGTGTATGTGTTGTGCATGTATGTATGTGCATGTGTGTATGCGTGTGTACATGCGTGTGTGTGCATGCGTGTGTGCTTGTGTGTGCACGTGTGTGTTTGTGTGTATGTGTGTATGTGTGTGCTTGTGTGTATGTGTGTATGTGTGTGCTTGTGTGTATGTGTGTGTGTGTGCGTGTGTCACAGACAAGGGGCCCTGGACATGAGCTTTGTCACCTGCCTGCCACTGTCCAGGAGGGGGTGCACCCCTGAGCCCAGTGGGTCTGTGGCCTTTGGGCTTTTTGTTGGTAAGGAAACCTGGGGTCAGATCCTGGGGCTATGGAGAAGCCCCAAGTGCCCAGGGAGGAGCACAGACTTAGCCGCGCTCCTGTGCTGGGGTAGATGGTGGGCCCCAGGGGAAATGGATCATGGGGGCAGGCCAAGGGGGGCCCACCTCTCCCCAGACCTGTGGCCTGGGCCCTGGCGGCCCAGAGAAGGGGTTGTCCCCACAGCCCCTCTCTGCTTAGTGCCCAGCCAGGAGTGGACACACGAGGTCAGGCCACCCTCATGCTGCAGCCCCAGCTTTCCCGCCGTCTGGGATCGCTCCTGATTGAGGCCTCACACATGGCCAGCCCTGAAGCCGGACAAGGCAGCGGTGGCCACTGCGGAGGGGGCTGTGCAGCTCACCAGGGTGTCCAGAGCCCTGCTGACCCACACAGATCTCTGCCTCGGGTCCGTGGCCTCGACACCTCAGGCTGCGTGACCTCACCAGTCGGACCCCTCCCTGCCCTCTCCCCAGGCCCGCGTGCAAAGGGACAGCCAGGGGTCCTGGGGCCCCCTGCAGCCAGAGCTCCCTGCTGGCCCCACCCCAGGCGCCCTCTGAGCCCCTCCCGGTGACCAGGGTCCCGCAGGAGCCAGACTCGGTGCTGTGCGGTCCCGTCGGTGTGCACGGCTTCCCGGGACTAGTGCTCCAGCCCGGAGGAGGCTGTGCTCTCGTCCCCACATCACCTACACAGGACAGTGCATAGGGGGCAGAGCCTGAGGTCAGGGCGATCCCGGAAGTGAAAGTGTGAGGGGGCCACCACCCGCTGGCCAACCTGAGGCCACAGGACACGTGGAGAAGTGAAAGTCGCCTCCACCCACACCACTTCCTCCAGGAAGCCACCCAGATAGGCCTTGTTCCCGGGGCCAGGTCCCACCCACTCCTCCAGCTTCTGACGGTGGGGTGGGAGCCACGTCTGCTCCTGGTGGTCTCCACAGTCCCCCTCCTCCCGAATCACTCCCCTCAGAGGAGGGCCTGCTGTCCCCATTCCCGATGGCCATAGAGCTGTCCACGCCCTGGATGCCACACTGCCTGCCAGCCCTGGGGTCTCAGCGAGGCAGGGCCAAGGCAGGTCGGGTGG